CTGATGTTATTTTTATACAGTGAAGCAACAGCCTTGCAGGAAAATAAACATTGTGATAATAAAACATTCAACTTTATTAAAAAAAAAAATCAACATATTACCAGCATAAAAACAAGAGATATAGATCAATGGAATAGAACAGAGAGCCCAGAAAAATACCTATGACAATATGGTCAATTACTCTATGACAAAGGAGGCAATAAGATACAATGGGGTAAAGATACTCTCTTCAATAAATGTTATTGGGAAAACTGGATAGATACATGCAAAAAAAAAAAAAAGAAACTAGGTCATTTCTTGTACCGTATACAAAAATAAACTCAAAATGGATTAGAGACTTAAATGTAAGACCCCAAACCATACAACTCCTAGAAGGAAACAGAGGTAGTAAGTTCTTTGACAATCCTCACTCAAGGATATGTTTATTGATTTGAGAGACAGGAAGGGAGAGAGAAATGTCAATCGGTTGCTTCCTGTATGTACCTTAACTGGGGATCAAACCCGCAACCCAGGTATGTGCCCTGACTGTTGGACCTAGAGGGCACTATGCTAAATGAAATGACTCATACAGAGACAAACGCCGTATGATTTCACTTATATGTAGAATAGAAAAAAAACAAAATAATTGAACAAACAAAACAAAAAGCCTCATAGATACAGAGAACAAAATGATAGGTGCCAGATAGAAAGAGGGTTGGTGGGATAGGCAGAAAAGGTAAAGGGATTAAGAAATACTAATTGCCAGTTATAAAGTCACAGGGATGTACAATATAAGGAATATAGTCAATAATATCCTGACAACTATGTCAGATGGGTACCAGACTTACTGGGGTGATCACTTCGTAAGGTATATAAATGTCTGATCTCTATGTTGTACACCTGAAACAATACTGTATATCAACTGTAATTTAAAACAATTTTTTTTAAAAAATTCAAAAGCTGACATTAGCAACCATTTACAATTAAAACCAAAGTTAACCAATGACAAACTCGATGCTCAAGCACGTTTCCAAATTTCAGTCTCTCTCAATAGCTGTGGGGTATCCAGACTTAAGGAGCTTTGTGATGTTGTCCAGCACTATCTAGCACCCACGATTCCTAGAAGACACTAAATTAGTGTCCAGCAAACTCTATTAATATAAATTTAATTGAACACTAAATTTGAGAAATCCTTGATTAATGCATATGTTTTGCTTACATTTGTTAGTCATTAGTAGAAATGAAAGTCAACAAATTTCATATCACTTACCTGTAAGAACGTTTTTGGATTGGTTTCACAACCTATGAAAAAAACTAAGACAATATTCATTGAAGTACTGGAAACAATAATAATATAATGAATCTCTGTACAGGTATATTTTCTTTTATGTAATACAATAGAAGTTGTATTTGTCTGAATCAAATAATTTTACATAGAGAGGGGTATTTCTGTAGCTTTCTTTAAAGCAGTACATAATGGCAAAAAATTCCTTCTGTAATATGATTACCAAAACCTTTATTTTGGACTTTCTGTTGTTGTTTTTTTATCCTCACCCGAGGACATTTTTCCATTTTTTGTTTAGGTAGAGTGGGAGGGAGAAAGAGGAACAGAGAGAGAGAGAGAGAGAGAGAGAGAGAGAGAGAGAGAGAGAGAAACATCGATGTGAAAGGGACACATCGAGTGGCTGCCACCCACACGACCGACCAGGCCCGGGGACAAACTGCAACCGAGGTACGTGCCCTTAACGGGAACCGAACCCAGGTCTCTCTGGACCGCAGGCCGACACTCTAACCGCTGAGCCAAACTGGCCAGGGCTATTTTGGACTTTTTGTATGTTGATCTTTCTTAACATATACCATCATTAGTAAATTCCTAATACAATCAGATTGGAGAACCAGCATTATTGTTAAAGTGTGGCACCTGGTGGCCCACTGAGCTGTTGTTCCTGTCTTATTGCCATTTCTTCTCTTTCCTTTTTTTTTTTTTAAAAAAACCACTTATTTTCTTTGGAGACATGCCACTTCTCAGGTCAGTACATTGCTGTTCCAAGTATGTAAAGTGCTTGATCCATATATTTTATCCCCTCCCCCAAAACAGTCAAAACTGTGATTCAGTCATTTGCAATGAAAGATTCCTGACTGATTTTTTTTGGCTGACTCAGGGTTAAAGGCATTAAAGAACATGGGCAAAAGATGCACACTCACAAGTATCCTGATACATGGCAAAGGAGTTTGTGAACAAAAAGACTACACAGTAGATTCCGCAAGCTTAGGGGCTCTTTGACAGGCCTGGAGAGCCCAGGGACCGAAAGTAGCCACACAGGACGGTCTAATCATAACAGGGCAGGTTATGGCCGGTAGTCACGTCCTAGGCCTACAGCTTCCTTAGCAATAGTAGTCACTTACCTTAAGTGAGCCCTGTCCGTTGTTCTTATGCATCTAGGATAACATACCATTTTAAAAAATATTTTTTTATTTATTGATTTTAGAGAGATAGAAACATCGATGAGAGAGAACATCGACTGGCTGACTCCTGCATGTCTCCCACTGGAGATTTGGCCCAAACCTAGGCATGTGCCCTGACCGGGAATCGAACCAGCGACCTTTTGGTACATGGGTTGACACTCAACCACTGAGCCACACTGGCTGGGCTAGGATAATATACCTTTGAAATGTCAGAGTAATTTTCTTTCCACAACCATTCACTCTGAAGACCACGTAACACTTCATTGTTATCTTGTTCCCCGAATACCATCTCTATGTGCTGTAAATTTTCATTAAGTATCCTATACCCAATTTAAAAGGAAGCACATATCTCTCCATTTTCCTTTTTTTTTAAATCCTCATCCGAGGACATTTTTTCCACTTTTTTTTTTTGTTCAGATAGAGTGGGAGGAAGAGTGAGGGAGAGAGAGAGAGAGAGAGAGAAACATCGACGTGAGAGAGACACATCGAGTGGCTGCCATCCCCATGACCCAACCAGGGCCAGGGACAAACTGCAACTGAGGTATGTGCCCTTAGTGGGAACCGAACCCAGGTCTCTCTGAACCGCAGGCTGACGCTCTAACCGCTGAGCCAAACCGGCCAGGGCTCCATTTCCCTTTTTATCCAACCCTGGGCATTAGCATTTCCACGTTTTGTTTTCTCCTGCCTTTTTAATCTACCACCAATAGATTTCATGCAATCTTCCTTACATGTCCTCCTTTGACTGTAAATGTATAAAAAAAGCTGCAAAACTGCCATCCTCCAGAGCATGTTCTCAATCTGTTGAGATCTTGCTTTAGGGTATGCCCTCAAACCTTGGCTCAAATAAATTTTTCTACAGCTTTCTACAGATTTGGACGTTCATTCGACAACTTTAAAACTGCTTCTACACCACGTTTGAAAATGTGAGAAAGATAAAATTTTGTTAAATCTTTAACTTGTAACTTCTAAGGAATGATTTTTTTTTTAATGTTTTTGATTTTTTTAGGAAGAGAAACATCAATGAGAGAGAGAAACATATACTGGTTGCCTCCTGTACACCACCCCACTGGGGATCGAGTCTAAAACCCAGGCATGTGTCCTGATTGGGAACTGAACTTCTGACCTCTCAGTGCATGGGACAATGTTCAACCAACTGAGCCTTACTGGCCAGGGCAAAGAAAGGATTTTTTTTAGGACTCAGAATTAGGGCTTATGTATTCTACTTAAACTCACTTATGAATCAAATAGAAGGCTGTTCCCATCCCCATTAAAGTTAAGGTCTATTAAATATCCAATAGTGAGTTTTTAAAATAGTTATTTCTGAGAATCTAAACTGTCTAAACTTTAAAGTAAAATTAACATAGGTAAATTTTAAAAGTGACTTGTAAAAACCTTCACTATTTGTAAAACACCCTCCCTCTCCCAACAGGTTTCATACAAGTAAAAATTTTTTATGGCATTTTTCATTCTCTTATTTTCAGAAGTTTGAGTTCCTTTTTGTGGGCGGAAAAGTAGAAATCAGCATTTGAAGATATTTATCACTCCCTTCTTGTAGGTGGTGAAACACATGTGTTGGAATTTTTAAAAAGTTTCTTATTTATGGACTAGTAGCTTGTCCCTATATATATCAATCTTTTTTTAATTTTTTTTTATCCTTACCCGAGGACATTTTTGCACTTACCTTCAGATAAAGCGGGAGGGAGGGAGAGAGGGAGGGAAAGAGGGAGGTGAGAGAGGGGAACATCAATGTGAGAGAGACACATCAACTGGTTGCCACCTACACGACCCCAACCTGGGCTGGGGACAAACTGTAACCGAGGTACGTGCCTTTAGTGGGAACAGAACCTGGAACTCTCTGGTCTGTGGGCCGATGCTGCAACCACTGAGCCAAACTAGCCAAGGCTCAATCTTTTTTTTTTTAATTAAAATTTTTTTTTCCTTTATTGTGTTTAGAGAGAAGAAGGGAGAGAGAGAAACACTGATGAGAGAGAACATTGATTGGCCACCTCCTGCATGCCCCGCACTGGAGATTTGGTCCACAACCTGGGCATGTGCCCTGATCAGGAATTGAACCTGTGACCTCTTCGTGCATGAGTTGATGCTCAACCGCTGAGCCACAGGGGCTGGGCCCTATATGTATCAATCTTATAGAGGAACACACAAAGATAGTACTGAAGGCAGACTCAAACTAGTTTACATTCTACTGAATGACAAAGAGTAAGTTTTTCACTAAAAATTCATTGTTGTGGTAAAATATCCACAGTAAAAATCCATCAAAGCTATTTTTTATTAAAATCAAAGCACCAGTTGGCCCTCTAAAATTAAACAAACAAACAAGGACTATTTCTCAGATGTCCTTCACATTTAGCAAAACCTTCACGGAGACAGAAATCTGTGATCTGATTGGCTAGCATTATTCTCATTCAGGAACATGAGCCACCAGCATGTAGATTATGACTTAGTAAAATCACACCCAAAATGAAGGGGCGATATGTTTGTAAAAAGACATCACCTATTAATTTACATGAGGTTATAAAATACTTTAAAAAATATGTACATGATTATTTAAAAGGAGGTGCTCTATTTCAATAAGAAATTAGATAGCTGAACTCATGGTCATGTCCTTAATTTTAATGGCTAATCAGATCACTTGACTTCTCTCATTCATAACAAATACAGATAAACAGAAAATGAGTACATCTTCAGTTTAAACCTAAAAAGTTGTCGTTCACAGGAAGCAACTTATTTTGGGGATTCACATTATTTGTGGATCAGGGTTCAGCAAAAGGAGGAGTTCCTTCTTTCATTGTCCAACACTAGAGTCTCTCCATGAAACCCAAATTTAAAAGTTTAAGCATTGCAACATCATAGGACTTTGAAATGCAAATTCATAAATAGAGCAAAGGTCTGTATACTCACCTTTTTGCCTCTGGAATGAAACTTTCTGAAAGCATTCCCAAGTTATGTTACAACCGCACTACTAGTTGTAGTAAAATGTGGAGCCTCTTCTTTAGCTTGGAAAAGAAAGTTAAAACTATCAAGGCAAGAGGACACTCCCTCTTAGCACTTCCCAATTTCCTACCCCTCCATTCTGGATATAAGCAGGGCCTGTTAATTCAAAGGACAAAATAATTGCAGTCACATGATGATGTACAAATACATTTTGAACTTAATATGTTATATTTCAGCCCATTTATACTTGTGCCATAGCCATGTAAGTCACTGTGTACTTGGGTTTCCTTATTGCTGGAAAGATCAGATGCTTGGCACCTGGAAAGCGTTCAATGAGTTAGAATTGAGTAAATCCTAGCTCCCATGTGCTCGACTCATTTATAAGCCCCGCTAAAGCTGTGATCACGTGATCACATTCAGTATTGGTCTTGCAGCTATGACACTGGGCTTTTGGTTCCAAATCCAGAGGAAAATGTCCTGGAGTTTTTGATCAGAGATAAACATTGGAGTGTTGTAATATTTGGTCAAGGTTGCTTAAAATGCACTAAATTTTTGGGAGGATGCTCTCTAAATGAGCATGGGGTGTATATATAAGTTAGAATTTTCTTATAACTGTCTATTAGAATTTAAGGATTACTTATCTGGGATCCACCTGAGCATATAGGTGCTTGTTAATACGGTCACAGGACTTTAATCACAAAGACTGTCACTGAAGGCTATTTGGAGAGAAAAACACTTACTTTTAAATACTGTTTCAAAAGATTAATATGGCACTGAATATATGAGTAAAAGTTTTGGGTACATTAGTTAGACATTCTGGCTTGGATGCCGTTAGAAAATTAAATGTATTTTCTCTTTAGTGCTACTTCCCTTTGTGATCCTTCTCAAAATGTATCTGTGTTGTTCAGCCTTTGGAGAATAAAGTCAAATGCATATTCAAAAGAATACCACCATCACCACAATTAACCTGAATACAAATCTGAAAAATGATTAAGACCTTTTAAACATTACCACATAATTTTCACTAGGGACAAGGCCTAAATCTACATAGAAAGTGAGACACTTATTGTTAGTAAGTTCTTTTCTCATATTTTATCTTTACCAACAATATCTGAAAACCCAGTGAATCGGCCACAGAATATTTTCAAATTGTCCGTTTTAAGAAATAATGCTTTGTGGATAAGAGGCTTAATTCATGGAAGATGAGACCATTCAAAGAGTAACAATTCTTTCAAATCAGTCATATTTTTCTTCTATCAGCCTAAAGAGAAAAATGTCCTCAGCCAATTAGTGTTTTAAAAATAAAGGTTTACTTTGGCAAACTAAAAAAATTTGTGTGTAAATATTTTGTCAAATGTTATATTAGCAAATGGCACAGCAATTTTCTTCTATCTGAATCTAATTTTCTTCTTGGACACTGAATAATAAGGAATACATGAATGTCAGCTAAACTAGCTAGGTCTGGCCCATTAAGAACATGCTTGCCCTAAGAAAATGTCTTTTGTATCTTGATATAAGAATACAAATGAAATTCAGAATTTAGCGAGATCAAAGATTCAATTTGAGGATCTTACTCTTTAAAATAGGAAATAGATGCTTTAGAAAAAATTAAAACTTCACTATAATTTCCTCCAACTGCCTGCCTCCAAATTCCACAATATATTTCCATTCCAAATTACAAAGACAGATGAAAATAACAAAAACTAGCCCCTTTCAAGGGAACTTCTATTTAGCTCTCAATAGGGTATATTTTTTAAAAATCCTCACACCCAATACGGCACACAGCTGTATTTCATTTTCTGGGTGTTCCACTAAAAGCCATACCGCAAACAATGTTTTGTTATAAAAGGATTACCTGCACAGTTAAAATGAACAATAAAACCCCCCCCACACATACAGCAAAACCAAATTGCATTCACTTATTTACTCAGTGAAAGTTCAATTAAGAAATGAAAAATGGCCTTGAAAATTTGCTATACCAAACATGTCTATAGCCAAGAAAAAACAAAAATAAAAAAATCAAACATTTGTTTTCCTGCTTTTTCTTTAATACAGTTGCCATCTTACATGATATACTATTAGGTGCCTTCTTAATAGTATCTAATCTACTTTTTTGTTTCACCAGTCAGCATCCTAGGATAGAACTCTTATTACCATCCATGTTCATTAATTATGGCCCAACTGTTCTTAATTTGTACTGTTCTTAAGGACAATACACCTAACTCATGGTTGGGCCACAATTAATGGGTAGTGGTATTTTCTAAGAATGAATTAATGCACACATCCAAACCACATTAAAATTTCAACAAAGTCTATTTCCTTTCTATAGTAGCTATTGTTCCAGATTACAGTTTTGAAATCCAGAAAGTAGGAACAATGTCTTTTTATTTTGTTGCTGATGCTTCTTTCTTCTTTTCTTTCACCTTCCTCCCACCCTCCCTCCCTTCCTCTTTTTTTTACTTTCTTAATGAGAAGGTTAAAAGAAATGGGTTATTAAGAAAATCAAGGTCTAGTAAACATAAACAGCTTATAGATCAGAGTGGTCACAAATTCTTCTTTGTAATGATGTTAAATTATTGATAAAATAATTTTTGAAAACAAACAAAAATTCTAAAAACAGCACACGCCGATGCTGCTGCTATTTAAGCAACTGGCGTTCCTCTGTGCTTTTGAGGCGCTTCTTCCGGGGCTGTACAAAGTCATCATCCGAATCATCGCTGAATTTATGATCTTCTGACTCATTCCTGAATTCAAGTTTAGGAAACCGTTTTTCTGGATAAAGGTTCTTTAGAAGTTCTTCAAAATAGCTTTCAAGTTTTATACCAGCATTGGCTACTTCTGAATCAGGCTGTTGGGTAAAAATAAAAATATGAATTAAAAAACAGACACCAACATACAGACAGTCATTAAAAGAGGTGAATTCTCACAGTTTTGTTCCCTTTTAACTTGAGATCAGGATACCAGCGGGTTGTTTTGGAAAAATATTTATGCAATGTCATTGATATACAGTAAATAATAGTCTGGGGCTAAATAAAGTATAGAGAAGGTCACATAAAAGAAACAAAAAGGCTTTGAATCATCTGGATTATTCTATAAGGGCATGGCAGTGGTAGGACTGGATTACCAAAGACAGATAAAAAAGATGCCATAATCATAGTATTTTATAATAGGCATTTTCAGAGCAAATGAAATGTGGAACCCTGGAATGAGTAACCAGTGCATAGAACAAACCATGAACAAGAGACTCTAAGTCTGACAGATATTTAGATAAACTGAGAAAAGTAAGATGAGAAAAATTTTAAAGTAGAGCTATTTAGACCACATCCTTAATATTTTTAACTTCAACATCAAAAAGACTGAAGTATGGAAGTACTATATTCCAAGAAATAAAGATGGGAATGACAAAGAATGCTTCTAAGTTAGATAAAAATAGTTTCTAGCCCAGCCAGCGTGGGAGTGTTGCTCAGTGGATTGAGCATCACCCCATGGACTGAGAGGTCCCGGTTTGATTCCTAGTCAGGGTACATGCCCTGGTTGTGGGCTCGATCCCCATTAGGGGGCGCACAGGAGGCAGCCAATTGATGTTTCTATCTCTCTCTCCCTTCCTTTCTGTCTAAAAAAATCATTAGAAACATATTTAAAACATTTTTTTTCTTCTAAATTGTTTGCAGTTGTCAGCTATAATTTGCATTTCCATTCATTATATAATAAACCTTGGAATATAAATGTAGATAAAGTTATTCTCTGAGAGACTTGAACTGCTAGAATAGGTATCTTAATCTCCTTGTTTGCTGATAAGGTATTTGGTGTAATGTTGCTTTCAATATTGCTATTAGTACCCCAGCCCCCTCACCTCATTGAATTCAGCACAGTTTTGAAAGATCAATCTAAAATCAGCTACAAAATCTTCAGGCTTTGTATACATGAAATAATCTTCTTGTAGTCTTTTCTTGATAGTCGACAAGTCCATTGGATTTTTAATTATTTTGTAATAATCAGGCACCTTTCAAAATAAATGAGATACTATAATGCAAATAACTAAATACTATCTAGTCTGAAATAAATTCTACAAGTAGTGGCATAAAATTCCGATTGTACTATTTTGTCATTGTTAAGGAAACCTATGCAGCAACACTTACAAGTGCCTATAGCATTCTAATGTTGGAAAATGATTTGTCATTTTTTCCAAAATTTTTCACCTCTTATTTTTAATTAAAAAACAACCCATTTCCCTCCTAAACCTTCTCTATTCTCCTTCTCCATTATTAAACAAAAAGCAATTACCAGAAAAGGTATTACTCCTAGTAGGATTTGACATGTTTTTGCTGCATGTGTTACAGAAATGGGATATGAATCTGGGTTGGAACCCCAGCTCTGATGATACTCAGTAGCGTGCTCCTGGGTAAGTTACTTACCTCACTGAACCTCATATATCAAATAGGGATAATCCTACCAATCTCAACATTTTTTATAAACACTAAATGAGATGGTATATATTAAGAAAAAAAGGGCTATTTTGCTGCTGCTGTTGTTATTAATACCAAATGTAACTATAAGCCAAGATCATAAAAAGTACCAAGTTCTAGGTTAAATTTTTAAGTGATAAAGTTTTTGCTGGTCACAACTTCTTTTCTTTCACTTTTTTTGCCTTGCCTCTTTTGGGCAGAAAAAGTCCTTCCCCTGAAAGTATTTCCCTTTCCTATCTCAACTTTTCAAAACCTGTTCTCAAGAGAGAATTTCATTATTTATCAGTTGAATATATTTACTAAGCTAGCTTTCTGAATTAAATTTTTAAAATGTATCACACTGTAGAATATTAAATTTTTGAAGGAATTCAGACATCAGAGAATAGAACATATTTTGAGTACTTTTAGCACTCTAAAATTATGCATTAAAGTCTTATCAAACTTTCAATATGAACCTTACTGAAGTCAATGATTAACACACAAGCGCGTGCGTGCGTGTGTGCATACACACACACACCTTCCTCTGCTGTTAAAGTCGATTTAATATTTGAAGTCTGAACATATAAATCAAAATCTGTACAGAGATTTTGGGGGTTTTATCTTAAATGGAAAGTGTTTTTCCCCCAACAGTTTAGGAGATATGCCTCAATCTGAGAGAGAAACTGATGGAAATCATTACAGAGAATAGTAGGTAAAATACATGAGATGAGAAGAATGTATGAGAAATGAATAGAAGTTTTGGGCCAATTATATTAACATTAAAATGTATTTAAGCCCTGGCCAGTTTGGCTCAGCGGTTAAAGCGTCGGCCTGCAGTCTGGAGAGACCCGGGTTCGGTTCCCGCTAAGGGCATGTACTTCGGTTGCAGTTTGTCCCCGGCCCTGGTTGGTCATGCGGGTGGCAGCCACTCGATGTGTCCCTTCACGTCGATGTTTCTCTCTCTCTCCCTCCCACTCTAGCTGTACAAAAAAATGGAAAAATATCCTCGGGTGAGGATAAAAAAAAAAAAAATGTATTTAAGATCAAAGCTTTCAGTATATATAGATACATTTTAATACTGGATAGATATAAGAAACTACAAAAAATGGTACAGAAACTAATTCTCATAAAGTTTCAGAAAAATCATTACACTGTATAAAAATGGACATTAATGCACAAAATGACATTAATACTTACAGTTAGAGGAACTGGGTCTTGAAAAGCCAGGCTCATTTCATGGCAATAAAGAAATAAAAGTAGGCGTTCACACTTCTAAGCAAAAAAAGAAAATAAAATGAAGTCACAGCTTATTTTTTATAGCAATGTCACGTGTATCAACTTACCAGAATAAAAATTAAAACCAGATGAATATAAAAAAAGTATTGATACTTGGAGTTTTGATCTCCTGCCCAATCATTTACTGAACTGTACTGTTTGACAGTTTGGGGTTTATGCAATATATGAAAGCAGTTCTTGTAATTATAGAAACAAAAGCATTATCACCAGAAATCCATTTGAGGCCCTTTAAAAATAAATTTCCACTTATCTCTCCAATTTGTGTATTCAATTATTAGTAGTCAATCGAGGAAGAGGTCCAAAGGTGGAGCCCTTCCCTGGAGCGTCCAGTCCCCAGGCCCCTCGCTGAAGGCAGACAGGGCTATCACGCACTCTGCCACTTCCCTGCTTATGGGTTTGCCCCAGGGAACACCGTGATCCTGGTAGTGCATGTTTGAGCCCCTCTCGCATGACAACTTTCATACTCATTGTTCTACTTAATAATTGAGCAAAGGCGCTTCTTTAGTAATAGACAAATGTTGACTTAGTAGGTTTAAGTGTTAGTTACATTTAAATATTTTAGCTGGCTTTGAGGTATAAATCTAGTACCACTGGGTGAAAGAATGGAATTATTTCCAGGAAAAGTAAATAGAAAAACTCATCTCTCAACAAATTCTGAGGAAGAAAACCTATCTGTAGCAGAAATAAAACAAAACAGAAATTTAATAAGCATAGACTAAATTTAAGAGTCCAGGACACATAAAGAACACATATTCTATCCTTGTTCAAGTACAGTATTTTAAGCTTCTAGAAAATGTCTATGTAGTACTGTGGTTTTTCTTTTTTAAACTAAAAAGTTAGTCAGCCTTTAAATGTATTATTTAAGAAGCCTATACTTTTTGGGAAATACATACTAACGAAAAAGTAAGTTGATATGAAAAGCACACCTGCATTACAATAACGCATATAACAACAAAAAACCCAAACCAAAACAAAACTGTATAGCAGTCCAAGTTGGAAATGCTTAAAAACTTACCCTTTTATCGATTGGTGTTAATTTACCCAGGCTTTCAGTTTTCTTTTTTTCTGAGTTGTGACTCGGAGCATCACAATCATATTCAACTTCTGGTTTAGATAAGTCTCGACAGAAAGTGCAAATCCACTCTCCACTGTTGGGGGATAAAGTATTTGAGTTCCTAATGTTTCTCTCTTCACCATATCTCTTTCTTACCTCCTCCTGCCATCTATGATACAGAATTATTTATTTGGCATGAATTTTAATACTGAGAATTTACCGTATATCTACTATGCACCATGCTATGAGAGCTGAAAAGTAGTAATACAATGCGAAGGCCTAATATTAGTCTAGCTAAGGAGGTAACATACATACACAAAATAAACACTGAAATAAACAGACACATTAGTTTATGGCTGATGTGATGCATAACTGGTATTTCTGCTCAAAAGATTCAAGGGGGAAAAAATGCTCTTGGAACTATTCTTACAGCTTTGTTTGAAATTTTAATAGAATAGCCTTTGAGGAACTGAGATAATGCAATGCTTTTCATCATCATCACCATCTCAAAGGGTCTGTGAGAATTTACTTGAGATATATGTAAATGTCAATGCTCACCAAATAAGATTGTGGCAGTTGTGCATAAGGACCATTGTTCACAACCCCTTATTTATTTATTTTTTAATGCTCACTCGAGGACATTTTTGCATTTATCTTCAGATAGAACGGGAGGGAGAGAGGGACAGACAGAGAGAAAAACATCGACTGGTTGCCACCCACACAACCCCAACAGGGGCCGGGGACAAACTGCAACCAAGGTACGTGCCCTTAGCGGGAACCGAACCCAGGATTCTCTGGTCTGCAGGCCGATGCTCTAACCGCAAAGCCAAACCGGCCAGGGCTATTGGCAACCCCTTATGTAGTTTAAAGTTTATTTTTTCTCTTTTTATAACAGACTAGGTTTTTGAGAGAAGTACAAGGAATTGGAAGCAGGGTATGGGAAGGAAATCCTATGTGCCAAGTGAACTTTCAATTTTTTTTTTTTTAATCCTCACCCGAGAACACTTTTTTTTTGCATTTATCTTCAGATAGAGCGGGAAGGAGAAAGGGAGGGAGGGAGAGAGAGAAACATCAATGTGAGAGAGATACATCGAGTGGCCTCCACCCACAGGACTCCAACTGGGACCAGGGACAAACTGCAACTGAGGTACGTGCCTTTGCAGGAACCGAACCCGGCACTCTCCGGTTCGCGGGCCGATGCTCTAACTGCTCAGCCAAACCGGCCAGGGCGAACTTTAAAGTTTTTACAAAGGTTTCATGTTATAATAATAGTCAAAAGTTTATTGCTGTTATTATTGATAGTGAAAGAATGTGGCTAAGGGAAGCAAGTACTATCTTACCTTGGAAAATTTGCCAATGTGGGCACATGACAAGAAAGATGGAATACTTTGGGACACTTCTCACAACACAGGAGTTCCCCTCCATTCTGACAAACTGCACACCAGTCCTCATTGGGGTCATCCTCTTTCCTTGTCTCTCCAACATGAAGGGGTGACTTCTGGGAGGCATCCGGCCACTCAGACTTTCCATTTGAGGAATTTTCCTGGTGAAGTGCAGGTTGATCTCCTGTGCTATCAGGGGCATCTGATCTTAGCACAGACTCCTCAGAAGCAGAGCTCTGACTACTATTTAAGAGGAGGGAGGTGAGTATGCTTCTTGGATAGTTGGTCTGCAATGGAAGGGGGTAAGAGTATATGTATTTCTTAAAACTGTCATTCTTTATTAACACTATTGCAATTTTAGACCAAAGACTGCTCTCTCATGGGCACCTGGTAACTTCAAAGGAGTATGTGAATATGCATGAGAACAGAATATATTTAATGCTAAATGTAGAGTTTCTAATGATAAAGAAGACATGGACCTCTATTAAAAAACATCATCAAAATAGAGTATCAGTAGTAAGGGGGTATGGATAGTAAAGAAAAATTCTATGAATTTGCTGATGGTTACAAAAATGGGAGAATAGGTGGGTGGTACAGAAGTCAATCATATGAACTCTAAGTACATTTTATAGGACCTGTTAATTCAAATTATACCTAGACACAAAACACGTCTAGTGCAGTTTTTAAAAAATAGAGCTATTAATAACTTTAAGATAAATAAAAATTTTATGTTGGAGCCTAGGATGATGAAAATTTTCAAATCACTAAGGCAGTCTCACAATCTCTAACAGTGTTATAAATGCTTCTCAATGCTTTCAAAACGTTTTTCTGCCCTTCCACCCATTCCCATGGAGTCTTCCGCCCTCCTGTTACAGAATATACTGGAGGAGCTGCTGTACTGGAGACTACTCTTTTCCTTGCCCCTCATTTGTGTTAGGTCCTATTTCTGGGCTCTTATGTCTTCCCCTTTCTTGGTTTACTCCATGTTTGATGAATTGTATTTTAAAATATCTTCCTGAGAATGAGTACATGGAAATTAAAATTTTTGTGATCTTGCATGCAAGTCTAAAAATCTTTACTTAATCTTTTTATTTCTATTTTTTGTTAATCCTCACCTGAGGATATTTTTTCCATTTATATTTTTGGGGAGTGGAAGGGAGAGAGGGAGGGGGGAGGAGATAGGAGAGAGAGGGAGAGAGAGAGATGGAGAGAAACATTGCTATGAGAGACACACATCAATTGGTTGCCGCCTACACGTGTCTGAACGGGGCAGAGGAATCGAACCTGTAACCCAGGTGCATGTCCTTGACCAGGATTCAAACCTGAGACCCTTTGGTGTGAGAGCCGACAGCCTACCCACTGAGCAACAACTGCCAGGGCACGTTTATTTAATCTTTATGCATGACTGATAATTTTTTCACTTAACGTTCTAGTACTTGTTAGGCCCTTTCAGTTCAGATGTTCATGCCTTTCATTTACATGAAGTTTCCTATTTCTTTGGCAATTACCTTCCATTTGTTTTACTCTGCTCTCTTTCAAATGCCCAATCTCCTCACTTGAGCCTATGATTTTTCAAACTTGTCTTCCTGTTTTCCATCCATCTTTTTGTTTTAATTTACTGAAAGATTTCCTCAATTTTTTCAATTTTAAAGTTGGCCATTTCCCTGCTTTAAAAAATACTTTTATACTTCCTATGAGCTATGTAAAAGTTTCTCTCACCCTATCCTCTGAATAGGAATAGTACTGAAATCAATGACATAATTACATTTTGAGGTCTAGATTCTTCATCTGATTCCTGTTTCACTATAACAACAGGAAAATCATAATTTTCAGGTGGTCCACTATTTTCTTGTTTTATTCGGATTGGCTCCAACATGACCACTGGGACTTTGTGTGTAGAATCAGCTCCTGCTGGTTTGCTAGAAGAGCCAGAGCTATAAGTATAAGAAAGAAAGAAAGAAATCTAAGAATGCTACCTTAAGTATCTCAAAATAAAGTATAACAGCTTTCACAATAATGCCATATCTCCACAATGGTAACTATTTACATCAGCAATTAATGATACACAACTTAAATGAAACTGCTATATACAAAAGTTTCCCTCATATATTAAAAATGTTCTATATATCAACCTATCTAAATAGTTACACCTGAAAAGATATTAAATAAATTTAAATAATACCTGAATTGAAACGGACTTCAATATTCTGAGGCTCTAAAACTAGGTGGCCAGATTTATTATCTTAGAGCTGGCATCATTTTTTAGGCTTTCTTATTTCCTTCTCTAGTCAGTGACAAAGAGAACTCTAGCTCACATTAATGATTTATTGTTACAAAGTGTTAAGGCAACTAGGGACATAATTTATTGATGTTCTGCTATATAAAAAACCATAGTGGGACAAAAAACTTTTACAGATAGCCAATATGTTCTCATGAAATTAACCCCAAACTTTCTCTCTTCAGAGAATGCTTCTTCCATATGATGAGGAAGTAAGAATTGGGTTCACAATCTAGGAGAAATTTGCAAACATAATGAATAGGTGAGCAACGCAATAAGTTAAAATAGAATTTCAATAAAATGTAACTCTGTTTTTTTCTCTATTGATTTGAAAGAGAAAAGAAAGGAGAGGGAGAGAGAGAGAGAAACATCAATGATACAGAACATCAATTGGCCACCTCCTGCATGCCCCCCACTGGGATTTTCACCTACAACCTGGAAATCAAACCAACAACCTCTTGGTACATGAGCTGAGGCTCAACCACTGAGCCACACTGGCCGGGCAAATGTAAATTTATTTTAAAGCAAAATCAACATTTGGTCATTAGAAAATTCAGAGAACACTGAAGTTAGCATAAAATTATTGTTTCTTTTCCCAAAGTTTGTGTGTGTGTTCCCATATAATACAGTGTGTTATGCTCTACATTTTTATTTTTTCCTTGCTATTATGATAAAATCAACCATTTTATTTTCAATATATACACAAAGATATTTGTATCTTTAAAGTCAAAATTATAATTTACTCAACACATTAACTTACTAACTTAAATAATATATAATTATTATTAAATTATTTTAATTTAGAAGTAAAAAAAAAAAAAAAAAAGGTGCTCAAAATGTATTGACTACCCAAAGCATGTTGAGCACTGGGGCAAAAGAAATATTATTAGAGATTTTCTATCTAGAGAAAAGGTTGTCAGCTTACCTTCCTCGACTCCCAACGCTGGAGGCACTCGGTGAACGTATCGGTGGGTGTACACTAGTCATAGTAACAGGTCCTGAAGAGGAGGAAAGCATACATATTCATAAAGCGGATTAATAATTATGTATTTCATTTCTACTGAATGTGCTCACTTAGTACTGCATTGAAACCGAACACACAATGAAAGTCTAAAAACAGTAAGTAGTTGCTGAACTCCTAGTATAGTCTAAGTCCCCTTACACTAGCAGGGCTGTTCAAATTCACTACAATGGACATTTTGGGCCAGATAATTCCTGGTTGACAGAGCTGTTTGTGCACTGTAGGGTGTTGAGCAGCATCCCTGGCCCCTACCAGTTATTAGGTATCAGTAGCATCTCTCCACACTTCCCACCCAGGGGTGTAACAATAAAAAATGTCTCCAAGCATTGTCAAATGTCCCGTGTGTGAGAGTACCAGAATAAGACCTCAATAAGGACACTAGTGCTAGTGAAAGCTACAAAGACAATAATAAGTGGTAGGGGCTGATATAAAAGTAGTCTAAGAAAGAAAGCTACTAGAGACCAATTAATGAGGACACTGAAACAAATATTCTCCTAGGAGCATGCATATAAGGTACTTTGTCTAGTGCCTGGCAAAGAGTCAGTGCTGAATAAAGTTAGTTTTAGCAATATTGCCAAAATGGTCTCCTGAAATGTTTTGTCAAGTTATACTCCCACGAGCCCTGGCCGGTTTGGCTCAGCGGTTGGAGCGTTGGCCTGCGGACCACAGAGTCCTGGGTTCGGTTCCCACTAGGGGCACATACCAAAAAAAAAAAAAAAAAAAGTTATACTTCCACAAGCTACATATCAGAATACTTGCTCATCACATTCTAATCAGTGAGTATTTTCACTGTTTAAATCTTTGCTGATTTAATACTTAGAAATTATATCTTGTTTTGATTATTTTTAAATGACAACTAGTACGACTGAACATCCCTGCTTCCCATTTTACCGACTGTGGGTATTTCCTCTTTAGGGAATGATCTATTTATGTCCTCAGTACTTTCCTTATTTATTTGAATAAACCTGTTATATAATTAAATAGTCCCTGCCTTACTTTTTTCAATAATTGCCTTCCCATTTATTTTTGTCTATGTTTTGTCTATATTTAAGTTTGTCTATGTTTCAAATAATCATTTTCTTTTTTTTTTATCCTCACCCGAGGACAATTTTTCATTTTTTGTTCAGATAGAGTGGGAGGGAGGGAGAGAGAGAGAGAAACATCGACGTGAAAGGAACACATCAAGTGGCTGCCACCTGCACAACCCAATCAGAACTGGGGACAAACTGCAACTGAGGTACATGCATACCCTTAGCGGGAACCAAACCCGAGTCTCTCTGGACCGCAGGCCAACACTCTAACTGCTGAGCCAAACCGGCCAGGGCTCATTTTCTTTTAAATTGTGTAACTGCCTCATATTTATGTGACTGGTGAATAACAAAGAAAGAATGATTGTCACTGATACATTCTGACTCTAGGAAAATTACATCCTAAAAGACACATCACAAGCAACTTATCTAAAAGAGAAAATATAATCCTAATTTCCTCCTGAGAGTATACAATGCCTATAAATTATGTTGAAACTGAAAAAGTACAGAGGTTTAACCGTTGATTTCCACTTTGAAAGTACCATATACTAATTTTTATGAGTGCCACACCCTTTTAAATCATCCAACAACAACAAAAAAAAGGATTCTTGGAACTAAATAGACACCTCTCCAAACAGGACATATAAATGGCTAAGAGACATATGAAGAAATGCTCAACATCACTAACCATCAGAGAGATGCAAATTAAAACAATGAGGTATCACCTCACACCTGTCAGAATGGCCGCCATCAACAAATCATCAAACAACAAGTGTTGGCGAGGGTGTGGAGAAAAGGGGACTCTAGTGCACTGCTGGTGGGAATGCAGACTGGTGCAGCCACTATGGAAAACACTATGGTGTTACCTCAAAAATTGGAAAATTGAACTGCCATTTGACCCAGTGATCCTACTTCTAGGAATATACCCTGAGAAGCCTGAAACACCAATCAGAAAGAATATATGTACCCCCATGTTCATAGCAGCTCTATTTACAAAAGCTAAGATCTGGAAACAGCCCAAGTGTCCATCAGTACACGAATGGATAAAAAAGCTGTGGTACATATACACAATGGAGTACTATGCAGCTGTAAGAAAGAGCTCTTATCCTTTGAGACGACATGGAGGGACCTGGAAAGTATTATACTAAGCAAAACAAGCCAAGCAGAGAAAGACAAGTATTATATGATCTCACTTATTTGTGGACTATAATGAATAAAACAAGCTGATGAACAAAATAGACCCAGAGACATAGAAATAGGGTACAGACTGACAAATCTCAGAAGAGGAAGGGGGGGGGGAGGAAAAAAATAAAGAACTCTTATGCATGTATGCATAACCAACGGACATAGACAACAATGCTGAAGAACGGGGTAGTCCCAGAGACGTGGAAATAGGGTATAGACTGACAATCCCCAGAAGAGGAGCGGGGGAGATAAACCACAGAACTTACATGCATGTATGCATAACCAACAGACACAGACAACAAAGCTAGGGATAGGGCGGTGAGGGAGGGGGAGGAGGGTATCAATGGGGTAAAAAGGAGAAACATCTGTAACAAAAATAAATAAAATGTAAGATAAAACATCAAAAATAAAAAAGAGTTCGTTTTGTTTTGAAATGACAAGTTGAGGAAAAACACTCACATAATCAAAAGAAGCCCACTTTACCTATAAGGCCTGGAGATGGCACTGAGGAATTTGGTGACTGGACGGTTCTGTTCGAGGGTGGTCTTGGCTGGCCATGATCTAAGCTAGTATCTTTCCTCACAATATTGTCCAGCATAATTGTACTTGAACAGTCAATCTTATTAAAAAAAAAAAAAAAGAAAATTATTTCATGGTATCCAAACTTTGCAAGTTAAATGTTACTTTAAATTTCTAAGAAAACTTTAATAGTTTAATTATCAAATCATAAAATATGCAGATATCATATTTGAGAAGTTCTAATACATATTTTCCCATAAACAATCTTAAAAAAAGCTTTTGCTCTTCTTAATGTTCCACGTTAGTAAACTTATCGAGGACACCCTATGTCAGAAATCATAAGCCAAGAGAAAGAATAATTGTGTGCCATTCACACCCTTAAAAATTAAAGCAAAAACATTTTTTTTTTTTATCCTCACCCGAGGACATTTTTTCCATTTTTTGTTCAGATAGAGTGGGAGGGAGAGAGAGAGAGAGAGAAACATCGATGTGGAAGGGACACATCGAGTGGCTGCCACCCACACAACTCAACCAGGGCCGGGGACAAACTGCAACCAAGGTACGTGCCCTTAGCGGGAACCGAACCCGGGTCTCTCCGGACCACAGGCCAATGCTCTAACCGCTGAGCCAAACTGGCCAGGGCAAGCAAAAACATTTTTAATACTTATTTTAAAATAACATAAGGTATCCAATTTAAAAAAAAGCCTTGGTGAGAAGAGTAGCACAATTTCACATTTTTAAAAAATTTCTTCAGCATCTTGCTTAATAACAGTCAACTGGATTCTTATATCTGCTTCTGTCCTAAATCCCTTTTGATGTGTGGTTTTTGTTGAAGAACATGAAGAAAATCTGCCCTTACACAGGGAGGACCTTATGGAGTCTCTGAAAGGGTTGTAGAGCCTCTACCTGTGTCCTTAGGCCACGCTTTGAGAACTGAGGCTGTGGTATACACCAGATAGATAAAGCAAGCCCATACATAACATTTCCAGAACACTAACATTACCTAAGAACATTACTACCAATTGGTAGGATAAACTGATCCCTCATAGAGTTTTGCTTTAATGAAATAGGTATATAAATAGCACTTGTTTTGTAACTGATAGCCAGGCTAAAGCAGTGATAAATTTCTATTGAATAAGACTTCAATGCCTTAGATGCAAATATTTTTTATAAACATGCTTATAAACACCATTTATTTCCCAAGAATGTCTTTGTGATTAAAATTTAGTTAAATTCTCCAACAGCTGCAGCCTTTCTCAACCAGGATTCTACAAAAGAATTAAGTAGAGCACACATTGTATATAACAAATTTACTTCTTGCCTCTGCATCTAGAATGGTGCCAGTTATGAACTATCCTTGGGAGGATTGAGAAAATAACCACTCCAATCAGTTTCTTGTTCTGTGGTTCAGATGAGGAATCTCAGTTGAGAAAGGCTGGTGAACAGTGACCCGCATCTGAGGACTGGAGAGAAAAGAGCAGAAGGACAATTTTAATTTTTGTGGGTCATCTTTCATTTGGGGGAGCAGGGAAATACACAGGGTCATTTATGTTTAATATTCTTTTGGCAATACCTTGGCCAGTACTTTTCAGAGAGTGCAAAGAGTACTGAAATGATTAGGTTTTATAGATTTGAAATGGAAGAAAAGTTATTTACAACTGTGGAGTAATCCTAAAAGCTAAGATAAAAATTTAAGAATGAGACAAAAAGTTTTCCTATGTATTACCTATGTGTAAAAAATACATGTACTCTACCCATTTAAAGTAACCATTTTTTATTTAAAAAATGAAATAACTCTGATAAGGTTAATGATGCCACTATTAGAAAATGTTAGTTGATCTCAGTAACTTAAAAAATTAAATATAGCCCTGGCCAGTTTGGCTCAGCTGTTAGAGCTTCGGCCTGCAGTCCCAAGAGACCCGGGTTCGGTTCGCGCTAAGGGCACGTAACTCGGTTGCAGTTTGTCCCCAGCCCTGGTTGGGTTGTGTGGGTGGCAACTACTCGATGTGTCCCTTTCACGTCGATGTCTCTCTCTCTCTCTCCCTCCCACTCTATCTGAACAAAATATCAAAAAATGTCCTCGGGTGAGGATTTAAAAAAAAAAAAATTTAAATATAAATTTAAAATTATTTCACAATCTTACAAGATATTTCTTTAAAGTTTTTAATGTTTGTGTGAGTGATTACTAACCCTGTAGGATGACAAAAGATAAAACAAGTATCAACTTATAAAAGGAGATCTGTCTATGGAGAATGTTATATTTTCTGCCCTGGCTGGTTTGGCTCAGCAGTTAGAGCGTCAACCAACAGACAAGAGAGAATGTTGTATTTTCTGCCTTTGGAAAGATTTTTTAAAGAAATCATGTTGCCCTGGCCGGTTTGGCTCAGCGGTTAGAGCGTTGGCCTGAGGTCCAGAGAGACCTGGGTTCGGTTCCCGCTAAGGGCACGTACCTCAGTTGCAGTTTGTCCCCGGCCCTGGTTGGGTCATGTGGGTGGCAACCACTCGATGTGTCCCTTTCACGTCGATGTTTCCTTCTCTCTCTCTTCCCATCCCACTCTATCTGAACAAAAAATGAGAAAATGTCCTCGGATGATAAAAAAAAAAAGAAAGAAAAGAAATCACGCTAACAAAGTTAGAGTTTAGAGAACAAATGTATTTAAATATAAATCAGAGGTAGTTTTGCATGATATAAAAGAAGATATTTTCATTTCTACTATTAAACTTGCCTCCATCTCTTCTGATGTCTTTAATTCTAGCCTCACTCTCTAATCTTATTCTTGTATAACATTCAAGCAATTCAACTCTCCAGTACCTCCTTCCTATGTCCTTACTTCCCTGCTGTCCCAGCTTAGATTCCATAATCCATTGCCACAATCATTCATTTACAAACACCTTAAACTCCAGTGCCCTGAAAGACATTCTGTAATACGGTCAAGTGTTTATAATCATTTTATTTTTCCTGTTATATTATTCCTAAAGGATATAATTAACTTCCAAAACAAACACACACAACCTTTAATGCAACAGACTTCATGCTTTTTACCAAATCCAAGTTCATGTAAAATTTTTTAAATAAATTTTTATTATAAATTCTGTGTATACTTACATCTGGAAGAGAAGGAAGATTATAAGAACCTCCCACTGGTGAGCTCAAATCAATCATAGGTGAACCAAAGGCCTTTCCTTCATATCCTGCTGCACTAGTAATGGTGGGACTGGAGGGAGTAGAGGACGTGCTATTGGCAGTTGATGGGGGAGCCTGCCCACTGCTGATCTGCCACTATAGTAGAAAGAAGAAAGATTATCTGTCAGCAGGTCTATAATATACAATGTCCACCTAATCCCTGTTCCAGACACAAAACAAAGGAGAAGATATATTCTGCTATTTGAATTCAATTATAATTTCAATGGAAAGGGGAGAGAGCATGGATAGGTGTGCATAACTTCCATGAATCCTGTCCCAAAATAAAAAGCACCAACTTTTACCAGAAGACAGCAGTTAGTATATACCAGAAAACCACAGTACCAATCTTAGAAAGTTTACACATACTGGAAAAAAAATATAAACACATGTGCAGCAACCTCAAGGTAAAGATGGAGGGCTGAACACATACATTTTTTTCTGTCCCTACCTGATATATCTGAAACTAAAATAATGGTTAAAAGAATTTTAAAAAGGCACCAACTCATAGACAAAGAAAATAGGAGAAAACATAAACCACAGTTTGGAAGATGAAAAGCAGATGGACAAGTAGTAAATTAGTTAATCAATTCGATAAAGCTGAAACTGAAGCTGGCAGTGAGGAAAACAGAAGCAAAACCACATACACTGCAGAGCCCCTAAGAGCTCGGGAATTAGTAGCATGAGAGGTGAAGCTGGGGCTAAAAACAGGATACTCTGTTGAGAGTGCTTAAGAAGTGTTAAATCTCATGTTCCTTTCCTACTCTACGTGTAGCTACCCCAATAAGGACCTCCACAACCCACATAGAAAAAGGCTGCAAGTTCATTCTCCAGAAAAGGTAAAACAGTGTCTTTAGACTGAAGGGCACCAGATTCAGGTGAAGGCAGAAGTACTGCACAGAAACTGAAAATTCAGAAACCATACATACATTGAATGCTGAACTTCCTGCCCACTCTGCCCTTGGCCCTCTACCTATCTTCTTTCCTCAGCTGGCTTCAACAAGCAGCCAGGCCCTGTACTTTAGACAAAAAAATAAAAAGGTCCTTTGGGAACTGCACCTGCCTAAGAGGAAAGACCTAAAGATGGCGACACTAGGAATTCTCCCAATAAACACTGCTAGTAGCCTCAATACTAGAGTGAAAGCTCAATCATCAAACACAAGTCCCAGGCCCAAGCTTTCAGTTTTTTTTTTTTTATTCATTTCTCGTACATGAACAGGTACTTAAGCTTCTACAAACATCTGAGGAAACTTTCTTATTTATGTTAGAGGCTGAGATAAACATATTAACTAAGGTAACACTAGAAATGCTTAAGTGTACAGACATGAATGCTGCTGCTATCTACAATGTACTTCAAAACCTATCAAAAAAATAAGGTTTGATTGATTGACTGATGGTTGGATAAAGGGGCATATACATAATACCTGAGAAGGCATATAAAGCAATTTGTCCCCTATACAAGTCTTTCAAATTGTTGTGTTTGAAATTTTTCATAATAAAATACTGGAAAAAAGGAAAGCAACTAAGAGTTATCTCAAGATTGTGCCGGGGCCCTGGCCAGTGTTGCTCAGTGGTTGGAGCCTTGACCTGAGCACCTAAAGTTCAAGGGTTCGATTCCCAGTCAAGGGCATGTACCTGGGTTGCAGGTCCAATCCCTGGCCCCGATCGGGGTGCATGCAGGAGGTAACTAATCAATGTCTCTCTTTTACATCGATATTTTTCTCTCTCTCTCCCTCTCTCCCCTTCCTCCCTTCTACTCTCTCTAAAGATCAAAGGAAAAAATATCCTGTCTGACAGTGTGGCTTAGTGGTTGAGCATGGATCCAGGCACCAAGAGGTCACCAGTTTGATTTCTGGTCAGGGCACATGCCTCGGTTGTGGGCCAAATCCCCAGTGGGGCATACAGGAGGTAGTCAGTCAATGTTCTCGCTCATTAATGTTTTCTCTCTCTCCCTCTCCCTTCCTCTCTAAAATCAATAAAGAAATAAATTTAAATAAATTAAAAAATATATTCTTGGGTGAGGATTAACAAAAAGACTGCACAAGGAGAAAAAATTCTCAAAATTACCAGTTTGATTTCTGGTCAGGGCACATGCCTCGGTTGTGGGCCAAATCCCCAGTGGGGCATACAGGAGGTAGTCAATCAATGTTCTCGCTCATTAATGTTTTCTCTCTCTCCCTCTCCCTTCCTCTCTAAAATCAATAAAGAAATAAATTTAAATAAATTAAAAAATATATTCTTGGGTGAGGATTAACAAAAAGACTGCACAAGGAGAAAAAATTCTCAAAATTCTCAAACATAATACCCCCCCCTTCAGATTTTATTTTTTTAAATGTATCATTATTGTTGAAAGTATTATGAACTACATTATATGGAGTGATAGTGTCTGAAACATTCTAATTTATATGCTCCACTAAAAAAACTATGTAAAGAAACTTGTGAATATGAAAGTCATCTTTACTACCTAGCCACCCCTCATATCCACCAACCTCTCCCATCCCCGCCCCACCCCCTTTCTCTCGACTCACTTTCTCCCTTCGTTCCCTATAATAATCGGAGTTATAGTTCATGTATGTCCCTTTTTTCTATGTATATAAAATTAAAAAACAAAACAAAACACCACAAAAATGAGATAGTACCTCACGAAATTAGTAACATGTGTTTTCCCATATGGTATACTTAGGAGATAATATATAGGTTACTGCATTTTCTTAATAGCTAAAAAGAATTTCCACTGTACAAGTATACTGTAATTTGTTAGAATAATCTACCAGTTAAAACCAATTCGCCACTATATTTTCTCCTATTTTGTTCATGTATTCATTCATGTTTAGATTTTTGACCAGGAAACATTCTTAGTGTGTGTGTCTGCTCATTACAAATAATAAATGGGGAAGAGGGAAAGCAAAATTTGAGTACACAGAATGTGGTAGGTATTTTTATATACATTAGCATTAAGTCTCAGCACAACTCGACAAAGTATTTATTTTATAGTTGGAACAAATGAGATTTAAAATAATAAACTTGTAAAGGTCAGAAAAATTATTAGAAAAATAAACAGAATTTAAGGCCAAACTATAGGTTGGGTTCTTTTCTCACCTCTAATGATGAAATCAAGATAGGTATGAATTTTACACACATGCAGTGTATATATTTTATAAATAAAAATTTCAAATCCTTTGACTGAAATGAATGTCACAGAATTATGGAAATAGCATCATATTCTTCATTTCAGTCTTGAAAAACTAATTGACGATGAAATCACTCTATAAGTCCTAAACGGAAAGGGCTGGTGACGCAGTGCGTGGAGAAGACAAGGCACTAAGGGAACTTTTCCTTTAGAAAAATATAATACCTAGAATATATTTTTACCTGAAAACATTATCAGATTTAAAAAGTAACCTTAAATATTAAGTTTTACCAGATGTATATGTACTCCATATTAAAACTGTTATACTAAGTTTGCTTCCAAGAAGTCTCCTTGAAACATTTAAAGATTAATTTATTGTTCTCATTGCAGAACGTAACCTATATTTACTAAAACACTTCTGTCTTAGGAAATGTAATGCATTTACCTAAAAGCTACATATATCACTATTGGAAAAATTAATACCTATGGCTCACTGATTATTCTGGACCCTTTCTCTTAGCTTTGTCTCTATAGGTCAGTCTGTAATAAATTTTGTCATTCATATTTATTTAAAGAAAAAAAAGCTTGCTCTTACTCTTCATAACTGTTACTTTATCCATACATTTATGTAATTTTGAAGTAGAGAGAAGCAGAATAAGCAATAGGAAAAGAAGTGAATATGTATACCTGTTTTATGGCTTGTTGAGCCAAGAAAGCCATTTGTAGGGGGTTGGGCTTTATTGCTTGTCGTGGCATATTCTGGGTTGGTGGATATCTCAGCTGTTGAGGATGAGGAGGAAGAACGGGTCCATTGGGTTTGGGGCTATGATTTTGAAAATTTATCAAACGTGGAGGGGGTTGCTGAAAAAAAGAAGAAATTAAATTAATTCAGTGATAATCATCTCCTGAAAGACAAATGACAGAAAACTCCATTTTATAATGTTTACAGAAAGACAGCCACTCTGCCACAGATGAATCCTTTATTAACACCACCACAAGGGTTTGGGGGAAGGAGGTAGCCTTCCAGAATGTGTAAAGCAATTTAAAGAAAAGGAGTTTTATTAAGAGTCTTGGTAGAGGGGTTCCCAATTATAAGTAGGTTATACCAGGATTGGGCCTAGGTCATATAGGAAAGTAGGGATAACTTATCTTTGGTATCCCTCTCAGTCTTGATAACTATCTTTTGCAAAGAACTGCCCTCTTCAAACATCCTAAATAATGTGGTGGTAAAATAATAATAATTGCTAACATTTATTTAGCAGTTATTACATGCTACTTACTGCTTTAAGTTCTTTACATGTGCTAACTCATGGAGCATTTAAGTATCTTGTTAAAAATTAACAAAGATAGTAAGGGATAGAGCTGGGATCTGAACTCAAGTACTCTGGCTCCAAGATCTGCACTTTTAACCAATAAATCATTAATAATGAAAATAGTTGATATTAAGTAGCATTTAAAAATAAATGATTTTTAGATCTTACTGAGATCAAACTATATGCCAGGTATTGTGATCAGCATTTTACCCTTCCCTCATTTTACAAAGTAGGACACTAAACTTTAGAAAGCTTAGATAACTTGAAAAACGCCACACAGGTAGTAAAAAGGCAACATTGAGACTTTTTTCCAAACCTTGTTTGCCTTATCACTACCAAAACACATTCTGGTGTTTAGCTGGGAGGTTAAGATCCTAATTACAGCTTAGAGGATGAGTTAGTTTCCCTAAAAGAAAACAGATTTGAAAGGAAATCCTTCAAGGACAAAATTGGTTTATTACAGGATAGGGCAAAGGTGGGGAAGGCAAACTTACTTTGCTCATACATGCTAGCCCTAGAAACTGAGACCAGTGTTATAGAAAAAGGTAACCTTATATGCCAATCTCATCTATCCAATTCTCTCTCTCTCTCTTTTTTTTTTTATCCTCACCTGAGGACATTTTTCCATTTTTTTGTTCAGGTAGAGTGGGAGGGAGAGAGAGGAACAGAGAGAGAGAGAGAAACATCGATGTGAAAGGAACACATCGAGTGGCTGCCACCCACACAACCGACCAGGGCCAGGGACAAACTGCAACCGAGGCACGTGCCCTTAGCGGGAACCGAACCCGGGTCTTTCAGGACCGCAGGCCGACGCTCCAACCGCTGAACCAAACCGGCCAGGGCCCAATTCTCTTTATGGTTGGCAACTTACTGCAAATACTTTCAGGCTATCTTAACTGTTTATTTTTATGACTAGAACTTATCAGAGAGGAAACTATTAACTACCGCATTCAAAGGGAGACAATAAATGTGGAATTTACAAAGCTGAAGTAACAACACCTTAGATCTGGACCCTGTGAAGGTGAAGGCAGATAGCTATAATGTGTACAGCCCTGTCTTCTTTTTCTTCTCCCATTTTTGGAATTTCCTTTCCTTTCCTGGATAATGTCACCTCTCTCCACCCTCTCTAACAAATTAATTATTACTGGTTTTACCCTCAGTAACTTTCAAGAATAGCCAGTAATTATAGAACCAATGAAAAATCAACTTAAATGATCATTTCAGGACCAAGGAAAATTTTGTGGGTGAATAATAGAAAAATAGAGAAAATTTCAAAACTTTACAAAAGTAAAAAGCTTGAAGCAATAACAATTGTTTTTGTTTTACTAAAGTTTTGTGATTTGAAGGGTTTTATATAATAGAAACACAAAAAGAAACTAGTTGGGAAATTATAGTGGAAAACCTTCTAAACTTATCTATAGTTCTAAAAAGTGGAAAAGCACCCAAAATAATCCTGAAGGGAGAATAAAGATAGTCGTAGAAGCTTTTGCTACTGTATTACCACATCCGCACCCAGATTCACATGGATTCGGTCAAGGAGAAACAGTTGGTGCCACAGTAATGTACTCTGTGAGAAGTCAGTGCAGGAATGAACACTGACCATGCAGTCTGGTTAAGATATGAGGTGATTTTTCTTTTGCCTCTCTTAAACTGTTATGATTGATTGAGTTAATTTCTAACAACCCTGTGACAGAGGAAGCAACTTGAAAAAGTAAGATTAGGAACTAGTTATGCACATAAAATATAGCAAAATCACCGTTATTTTAAATAAATGGAGTAAATTACTTTGCAATACAGAGAAGGAAATAAAGGGAGGGAACAGAGGAATAGAGATCTCAAGGAATCTGATGCATCATTATTATTCTCATCTTCATTCTATGTACCTTCAGTATTACAGGTTTTGATTTTATTCTAGGTCAGTAGTTTCCAACTGTGTAAAACCAATGATTACAGAAGTCTTTCTAACATCCATCCACTGTTTCGGGAAGTTAACGTACACATATAAAGGAAGATATTTCCACAGCAGTAAATCTGGCTCAGGATTGAGAAACATTGCTGTGAATTATGTATAAAGTAACATGTGACAGTGCTAAAAACTTAGATCTACCAATTGGCATGTAATAGAGTCTAGTGTATACTCCTAAATAAACAGAGATGCACAATGTCTATCAAGTTTGTATCACTCAGTTATGTAACTGTATTCAACCTCTGTTATCACTCAACTCTTTAACCTTGCAGAGTACATGGTTAATCTTCAGAAGAAGAAAACAGAAAGCTATCATGTAAGTGATTTTTAGAAGTAGTCCTTTATATTTACTTGCACCCTGTGGACAGATATAGAGTAAAATTTAAACAGAGCCACAAAGCCAGGAGCATACATACATACCTGCTATATATAGACAGTCATTTTCCTACACATATATGCAAATAAACTGGCAGAAAACTAAGAATGTACATAAGTAGGGCAGTGTACAAATTTATATAAGAGTGCAAATTAATAAGTAGAAAATGTATGAGTGAATGTTTGGCAGAGAACAGCTAAAAATGAAAAATGAGAGTGTGAAAAAAATTCAGGAATCACTGAGAGTCAAGAGAAAAAGAACAGTGTATGAGGTAATGACCAAAAGATGCAAAAAATATCTAAGTAAGAAAATTAGGTTGTATAATAGAGATTGCACATAACAAATTATATAGCAGTAAATTCTAGAGAGGAAAAACAGATCAAAAGCAAATTTCTGAGATACACAAGCTAAAGGCTCAGAGGTCACTTCTGTTCTGTCATTGCTTATGTAAAAAACTACTTAGGGGAATGTGACCAAGTCACACAGGGTTTATTAACTGCCTCAGGTCCTCACTTCTTACTGAAAAGGCAATTTACTCTTTTTTAGGTTAATAAACTATTAGCCCAGCCAGTGTGGCTCAGTGGATTGAGCATCACCTCATGGTCTGAGAGGTCCAGGTTCGATTCCTGGTCAGGACGCATGCCCGGGTTGCGGGCTCAATCCCCTGTAGGGGGCATGCAGGAGGCAGCCCTTAATGTTTCTCTCTCCCCCCCTTCAAGAACTCTCTCTGAAAAAAAAAAAAATTCAATAAAAATATATTTGAAAAATAAAAAATAAAAATCACTTTACCATCTCTCAGACACTTTAGATAAGTATTAATCATGCAAATGCTTAGCACTAGGCACTCAAGTAATTGAGTAATTATTTTCTCTCTCTTCTCTTCACATTTATCTTCAGAAAATAATTTCAGCACTCTCTGTAGTATATTTGCAATATGTCACTGTAATCTGCAGAGGCAGTAACAAAATTATTCCTTAATTTTCTTAACAAAATTTCAACTTTGCCAGTTTCATTCCTGGTATCTAAAGCATACAATTCTTTTCCCATGGAACACTCATCAAAAACCTCTTAAATTGCTGTTATTTACTTCCTGTAAAAATCTGGGTTAAAACAAAGTTTGAGAGGAATATCAATTGGGTATATTAATATCCCCCTGGATTTGATATGCTTTCCTGATCAAATTACTAACTAGAAAGCCATAAACCTTAAATACATCACCTCAGACCTTCAAAGAAGCAATGTAACATGATCAAGATCTACATATGCCCACAACTTTTATTCAGGGTTAAAATAGGAATCCTATGAAGACCACTTCTATGTTTTGTAAAACTGCTACGCAAATACTATTATGCCATTAATTGCTTTTTCATCAAGACCCACATTATATCTTCTTCTTAGTGCTAGTAAAATGTGTCTCCTCTAGCTGACGTTTCCCTTTTTATCAAATAATATAGATATTCTTTCTATTTATTTTTCTTAGGTTGACAAAAAGTTCTGAGCTAAGGCTTGTTCTCAAGTATAATGGCCTAGATCTTGGCCTAGATCTACACACTTTGACTCCCATTAAACCCCATTCCATTTCATCTGTGTCATTAACTGTCGCTTCTAATCCTTCCCAGAAACAGAAACATAAATTCATAAATAAATGTAACTGGAAAAAAAAACACCCAGACTATTTGTAGAAATTAGAGTTTATTCTCCTTACTAAAATTTTATTATATCTAACTGAGCAGGATGGTTAAAATATGTAACGAAACATATAAATATTTTATCTTAAAATTTTTGAGGTAAAAGTAAACATATTTCACCCAGCCAATGTGGCTCAGTGATTGAGCGTCAACCCATGGACCAAGAGGTTGCTGGTTCAATTCATGGTCACTGCATGTACACAGGTTTTAGACTCAATCCCCATTGGGGGTGTGCAGGAAGCAGCCAATCGATGTTTTTCTCTCTCTCTCTCCTCCGTTCCTCTCTCTCTAAAAATCAATAAAAACATATTTTTAAAAAGTAAACATATTTCATAATTAGTGAAAATAAGAATGGTTCATGGAATATTTGCTCAGAAATGAAGTTTGAGCCCTGGCTGGTTTGGTTCAGTGGTTAGAGCATCGGCCCATGGACCAGACAGACCTGGGTTCGGTTCCTGCTAAGCAAGGGCACATACCTCAGTTGCAGTTTGTCCCGGCCCTGGTTGGGGTCATATGGGTGGTAACCAGTCAATGTGTCTCTCTCTCTCTTCTTCCCTCTCTCCCTCCCGCTCTATCTGAAGATAAATGCAAAAGTGTCCTCAGGTGAGGATAAAAAAAAAAAAAAGAAATGAAGTTTGAAAAAGGTATATTTCTAATGAACCACAACCCTGCCTTTTCCCAATTCATTTTGCCCTATTTTCTAAGATGCAATGTGGTTTTCTAAACACTGCACTCCCACATTATCTATAACATTAAGACAATGAAAAGTAGATGAAAACAGATGTACCAGCTAAATAAACCATTAATTCTTATTTTGAGGAGGGCTAAAATCTAGGAGTTAAATCAGGGATCCTCAATGCAATGAATTTTTATAAATTCATATATTTAAATCATGGATGACTGATGTCTTGGTTATTTTAAGAGCTGCTGAATACAATTGTACTATAATTATCTAAGTTAGGACAGGCCTGCTTCCAAATTTACCTGATGAGAGATGGAAGGTTGCTGGATGGGCCCCTGCATTCTAGGGTTTGGTAAACCCACAGGTGCTGGCCTCCGTTGCACCTGTTGCCTCTGAGCCATTACCTGTTGCTGCATATGCTGGAGTCGTAACTGAGCTAGGCTGATCTGTGTTGGAAACTTGGATAACTGGTTTGAAGATAAACCACCTTGTGGCTGTGAATTCTGTTCCATGACAGGATTCTGCTTAGGCATTTGTGGTTGACTCTCTTTATCTTCAATTACTAAAGAACCTAATTAAAGAGAAAAGGTTAAGTTCTAGTTTTTCTGACAGTGAAACACCACATTTTGTAAGGCTATTCTTGCTGAACTTCTGAACTTCCAAAAGACTTTCCATTTACAACGCTTAAAAATAGCCCTGGCTGGTTTGGCTCAGTGGTTGGAGCGTCGGCCTGCGAACCAGAGAGTCCCGGGTTCGGTTCCGGCTAGGGGCACGTACCAAAAAAATAAAATAAAATAAACATTAAAAAAAAAAAAAATAGAATGCCCCAAAGAGCTTTAGATAATGGAGGTTCTATCAAAATTTACCATATTAGAAACTAAAAATGAGAATTTAAAAAACTTTTTACTCACCAATTCATTTGAAATAATAAACCCATAATAGCACATGTTTATGAAAAAGAACCATAAAAAAAAAAAAAACTTAGTGAAGAGTTTTAAGGCACTGTTTTATATTTTTGAAAGTCTCTTTAAATGCCTGTCTTAATAGATGAACTCTCATATTTGTTTCTCCATTACGTGTTATAATATATTGCTTAGGTTGAAACATGTGAAGAAAATCCAGCCCCACACGGATATGCAGCTGGAAAAGGGAAGCCTCTGTGGTTCTCTGAAGAAACCTGAGACTATATTTTGAGAACTGCTGCTGTAGATTAAAACAAAACAAACAAATCTGATATTGGTTCTAAAAACAATCCCACAAAGTATTTCTGATTCTTTAGTATTAATAATTTGTAATCTCTCAAGTTCCTTACACTTTCACAGTGCATATACTATGTCAGTTTTCTGACAGAGAATAATTTGAGTGGCTTACAATTACCCTTATAGAGTTTAAAGGTGCATCTAATAGGTCTGACCCAAGCATAAGGCATAACTTAATTTTTTTCAACAGCAGAGACTCAATTAAATGTTTTAGATTTACAAAGTATATGTATCCTAAAAAAATATGATTATCATTCATTAAATATGTAGTATGTGTTAGGCACTGTGACAGTAGGTCTAGGTATATTCTTGTTAAATTCCTTTTTACAGACAAGGAATCCAAGGTTCAGAGAGATTGAACAACTTACCCAAATCACCAAAACATTAACTAAATATTCATCTAAATCAATATTTTCCCCTTGCATTATGAAAGATGTTTCTCAGAAGCCATGGATAAAACTTGTCTCCTTGGAAGATTTAAAATTTTAATTTCATTGTAAAGGACAATGTACAGAGCTATAAATGACAGCTCTGAGAAGTCCTATAGTCAAGAATATTATTTAACTTTATTATATAAGAGTTTCACAAACTCTTCACAAACTGGAGGTGCTATTTTGTTTTTTGCTGATGTAGACTTACCTAAAGCTATATCCATTTATGTGTGTACAGTTACACATATACTTTTTTTTTTTATCCTCACCTGAGGATATTTTTCCATTGATTTTCCGATAGGGAGGGAGGGAGGGAGAGAGAGAGAAATGTTGATGTGAGAGGGACAAGCAACTGCTTGCCTTCCACATGCTCCCAACCAGGGCTGGGACCAAACCGCAACCAAGGTATGTGCCCTGACTGGAATCAAATCCGGTCTGCAGGCTGATGTTCCAACCGCTGAGCCAAACTGGCCAGGGCTACATATATATTCTTAACTTTACCTATGCCTACATGTATATTTTAAGTGACATGTTTATAAGTACATATATCTCTACAGATATGACTACTTGTGTGGTAACTGTGATAGGTTCTCTGTATAGTTGAATGTGGGTTGGTAAGGTGGGATAGGGTTAAGAGACAGTTATTTAGATGCATGCTTTGTGTTCATTAAGATGCTTCTTTTTAGTAGTACAGGTGAGAGTATATGTGATTCCAGTTGCCTGCTATGTATCAATAAACATATGGCTGCATGTACTTCTAAACTGAACTGCAGAGGTCATTTCATGATTTTTTCTTTAAAAGGGGGGGTCACCCTACCATCATTATTTTTGTTCTTCCCTTGTATGGATGGGCTTTGTGTAAGTCTATTTCCTCATTTCCTGGTGTGTTCTGAGAATATTGGCTCTCTTTCCAGCCATTTCGTCCTTTCCTACTCAGAATCTAGCTTACAGAATGAGAGAGCAATCATTTTGGATGATTTTGAAACAAAGTTAATGAGCCCCAATGTATGCTCTCATCAAAGGGAATATTGCTGAAGAATGTGTAGGGAATTCTTAAATTTCTGTTTCTATAATTTCCCTGTGAGAAGTTAAAAAAGGAGGCAAAAAGTGAAGACATTTTCTGCTAGCAAATAATTAACAAGAAAGCTAAAATAATAACTTCCTGCCCTGGCTGGTTTGGCTTAGCAGTTAGAGCACTGGCCTGTGAACAAGAGGGTTGAGGGTTTGATTCCTGGTCAAGGGCATGTACCTGGGTTGCATGTTTGCTCCCTGGCCCTGGTTGGGGTTGTGTGGGAGGCAACCAATTGATGTGTCTCTCTCACGTGGATGTTTCTCTCTCTCTCTTCCTCCCTTCCATTCTATCAAAGAAAAAAAATCAATGGAAAAATGTCCTCAGGTGAGGATTAACAACAACAAAATCAAACAAAAACAAACAAACAAAAAAAACCCCACTTCCTGCTGAACTGCCCACAAGGATGTTTGAGCTCCTAATGTTACCAAGATGATAGTCTTCCTTTGTGATAATTCAGTAGACTCTAATATTTAAAATTTGGGTACTTTCCTGTATGCACGTTGCACTTCAATTAGGAAATTTATATATGTATATATCCAACTATATATATACATATATACATAATTATATATACATTATATATGTATATATATAGTTACTACATAAAAGGCAAAAGAAAAAGAAATAAGAAGTTTTCCATAGCAAGGTAAAGCAAATGAACGACATTAGGGGTTTGATGACTGGGTCTAAGGAGTAAGTAAGCCAATAACAGTATAAGAAATACTATTTTATCAGAAAACATTCTAAATATAAAAAATCCTACATCAATGACAGTCACAAGAGTTTTATCAACCCATTCTGACAAAGAGCTCAAGCACGAGTCTATGACAAACAGAAACCCTTAATCACAAGTTAACAGAGGGTGTTTCAAATCATTTATATATTTACTTGTGTGTTTATATTCATGCATGCATCACATATATACACATATTAATAAAATACTAGTAAAAATTCCATGTCTTTAAAACAAGGTAATGAAAATACTTTGGGGGTGGAAGAAATACATTTTCAACAATGTATCATAATCATTAAGAGTTCCAGAAACAAATGGCATTGAGAAAATGTACATAATGACCTACCTAAATTGATAATATTTTGAGCCCAGAAACTAGGATCACAGTGAAATTGGATGGTATTGTTGGTCACTGGGGAAGCATCACACCTTGCTCGAAGGAGGTGCCGTAACCGGTATGTAATCTAGATGAAAAGAGACAATTAAACATTAGTATCTTTATCAGGCAAATAATTTATTATGCTCCCAGTAAAAATACAAAAAATAGTCTCTTGTACGTACGCCAACACAAAATAAACAACAAAAAATAGACATAAAACAGTTTTCTTTTCAAAGCATGTCAAAATTTTTGATGTATAACTCCATTTGTTATGCTGTTGAACATAAAACTAAAAAGTCTCTTAAAGTCAGTTTTTAAAAATTTTTTAATTTTTTTTTAGAGAGAGAGGAAAGGAGAGATAGAAACATCAACATGAAAGAGCTACATCAATCAGCTGTCTCCTGCATCCCTCCACTGGGAAGGATCAAGCCCGCAGCCCAGGTATGTGCCCTGCCCAGGAATCGAACCCGGATCTCTCAGTCCATGGGACAACACTCAATTCACTGAGCAACACCGGCCAGGCTTAAAGTCAGATTTTTAATTAATAAAACTTCACAGAAGCACCAACTACTTACAAACACTTTAACACACTTTTTTATTTATTTTATTTACTCTTTCAAAGAAGGACTCAGAATTTAGTTTAGGTGGCCAAAGTTACAAAAAAGACAAATGAATCTCTGCAAAGGAAATCTAAGTACAGCCCATAACTAGGCCTGCTAGTTAGTGGGATGGTTCTCCTTGTTCCTACAGTTTGAGTTTCTTGTCATCAGTGCCCACCCCCAACCCTTGCTCTGCCCACATACAATCCTCAGTGAATACTTGGGTAGTTTCCCTCAGTCCTTGAAGAGTTCAGCTCCTGGTTCACTATGACCATCTTCACCATTACTCCTATCATAATTCTTGGTGACTTTAACATCCAACTAGATGATCTTCTTTAACAGCTTGCATCCTCTTTGCATGTACAAATACTCCCACAAACCCTAAAGGTCCAATAAGCCTTTGCTCTTAACAATTTTTCCCTGTTCTTTCTATCTCACCTTACCATTATCCTTACCTGCTTATCCCTCAATTCCTTCTTATCCAGCTTAAATCCCAGGGCCATTTCCTTGCATTTACCCTCAACAGCAGCTCATTCTCTCACATACACAATTACACATATTCCCTTTCCTCTCCTCAACCTTTTCCCAAGATGAAACAAAAATTACTTCAGATTGATCCCTAAGGTTGATGGCTATCATATGACATTTATTAATTTACATTCTGACAAACTTTTATCATTTACTTGTTTATATCATCATGGTCTCATTTATTCCTACTTAATTCAATGTGTTCTGATTCATTATTATGGTTATCAGATTGGTTGATTTGCCCTTTTAGGCTGGATCCTGGTCCTTGTGACATGTCTCCATCATTTCTCTGGTAGATATTCTGGGTACATTTTGTACTTTCCCTCAATGCTTAGAATTTAGAAAACAAGACCTGGAATGACAGTGCGCTCATTGCTTTTGGTGTGTAACACACAAACATATATACTCATATATACATAAATATCTATAACTACTTCCAGATCCCTGTGTATATCTATATAAAAGTCTTGAGTTCAGCCTGGCAGGTGTGGCTCAGTGGTTGAGCATTGATCGATCCATGCACCATGAGATCGCCAGTTTGATTCCTGGTCAGGGCTCATGCCCAGGTTGTGGGCCAGATCCCCCGGGGGGGAGGGGTATGCAGGAAGCAGCCAATCAATGTTTCTCCTTTTTTTCCCCATTGACAACCTCCTCCCCATTCCCCCACCCTCATACCCAGCTTTGTTGTCCTTGTCCATCAGTTATGTGTACATGCATATAAGTTCTGTGGTTTATCTCTTCCCTCCCCCACCACCCCCTCTTCTGAGGGTTGTCAGTCTGTACCCTATTCCTCAGACTGTTATGTTCATTATATTCCACAAATAAGTGAGATCACGTGATATTTGTCTTTCTCTGCTTGGCTTGTTTTGCTTAGGATAATACTTTGCAGGTCCCTCCATGTCGTCTCAAAGAATAACAACTCTTCGAGTTCATATTTGTATCCCCAATTCCTTCTAAATAATAAAAAGATAACAGAAGAATTCTAAGAAAATATTGTGAAAATGTTTTAACATATATTTAAAACTTAACTTCTGAAAGGATCCTGCTATTCCAATAGGTTTTGTTTTTTTACCGACTATAATTCCTATAGCAAAAAGATGAACTTAAGAATTGCAAGCCAAGATAGAAATTTCAGGCCGACAAGGCATTTTTTATATTTTTAAGCAAGGAAAAGCTATCAAAGGGTAATATGAGTAAACATGTCTATATTTACAAAGTGTAAGAACTCTAAAGAACAGGGTTGTATAATATAGCAATTTTCAAATTTTCTAAGGCTGGAAATCCTTTTAAATGTGTAAAAATAGCATTTAAAGGGTAACCTGGGTAAATAGATCTCTATTTACAAAGCATTAGAACTCTGAAGAATATAGTTGTATAATATAGTGATTTTCAAGTTTTCTGAGACTGAAAATCTTTCAGAATGTTTAAAAATAATCATAATCCTCAACTCTGCACACATTACAGGCAACTAATTTTATTAACTACATCCTCTTCTAAAGAGGCACTAAGGTCAATCTGAATTACATAGGCTTTTAAACATTAGGAAAAAAACTTGACTTAATCGATCAGAAATCTGGTAATATTGGTTCTTTATGATTCTCTGTACCTCTTTTCTCCTATAAATAATATAGAGGACAATCACCCTCTCTCCTATTTCAAAAGATCATTGTGCAGATTAAGTAATCCATCTTTTTTTTTTTTTTAATTTTCACTCGAGGATATATTTATTTATTTTTTTTATCCTCACCTGAGGACATTTTTTCCATTTTTTTTGTTCAGATAGAGTGGGAGGGAGAAAGGCAGAGAGAGAAACATCGTCGTGAAAGGGACACATCGAGTGGCTGCCACCCACACAACCCAACCAGTGTCGGGGACAAACTGCAACTGAGGTACATGCCCTTAGCAGGAACTGAACCCGGGTCTCTCTGGACCGCAGGCCGACGCTTGAACCACTGAGCCAAACCAGCTAGGGCTGATTTTTTTTAAGAGAGGAAAGTGAGGAGGGGGGGAAGAGGGAGAGAAAGATCAATCCGTTGCCTCCCATACGTGACCCAACTGGGGATCAAATCTGAAACCTAGGTATGTGCCCTGACCAGGAAACAAACCTGCAACCTTTTGGTGTATGGTACAATGCCCCAACCAACTGAGCAACCCAGCCAGGGCCCATCTTGTAATTTTTATTATTTTCTCCATGTTATCCATATTATAATCACAAACAGAACTATAGAACAAAATCAGAGAAAATTTCATACTGAAAACACTGATTGTGTGAATACTATGCTTTCTTACAAACATACAAATAACATCAGAAGGTATATACTATATAGAAGTTGTTTTTCATTAGAGCAATGAAGCAGTTAAATAAAAAAGAGAGAGTCCTGGCTGGTTTGGCTCAGTAGTTAGAGTGCTGGACTGAGTCACAGGTTTGATTCTGGTCAACAGCACATACCTTAGTTGCAGTTAGGTTCTCGGCCCTGGTCAGGGTCGTGTGGGAGGCAACCAGTCAATGTGTCTCTCTCTCTTTCTCGCCCCACCCCCACTCCCTCCTACGCTATCTGAAGATAAATAGGAAAAAAAAATATCCTCAGGTGAGGATTTAAAAAAAAGAGAGAGAAAGAAAAGACCTAAAGATTGAGGCTGCATCATTGATTATTATTAAAGAAAAAAATCATAAGAGTTGAATACAATTCATGATTAGGAATAGTTGCACATCAATTTTCTAGTAAGTCACTCAGTATTTGGGCCTAGTTTATCCAGAAGTGCATTTCATTATTTCAAAATGGTCATTAGACATTTCTGCCACTTGATTCCATAAAATGGAACAGGTGAACACAAAACTTATTTGGATGTTCTAATTTGATTTCAAAGTATAAATCTCTGTGGAATCTTTAATAGAGGAAAAGTAAAGCAGGAATTTTTAAGAATATTTATATGGTTTAAGCTCTAGTGACTAAATGTGTCCTAGATCTCTAATACTATAGGCATGGTTCACAGAAAACACTATCAGCCACCATATCTTCAGTACCAAAATTCCAGACTACGTACCATCAAAATAGTACCGTCAAATCATAATGCCACTTTTCTCTAGCAAATTCATTGAAATACTTAGCACCATATACTGCTGACAGAATAAACAATGTAGTACAAGAGGAACATAGCCCCAGGGCTCAGGTGTCCAAGCTGGAATTCTGGCTATCCCTCTTACTGTGTGTGACCTTAGGCATGTTAAACTCAACTCTGTGCCTAGGTTTCATCACCCATACAATGGCAATAGATAGGTTTCATAAAAGTAATGTAAAAGTTTAATGAAATATTACATGAAAAATGCTTAAAATTAGTGCCTGGCACTCTATAGATAATCAGGAAATGTTTACTATTATCATTATTGTTAGTATTAAGTTCAACTGCCACTAAGAGAAAACCTGGAGTCTGGCCGGTGTAGCTCAGTGGTTGAGTGTTGACCCACGCACCAAGAGGTCACTGGTTCGATTCCCGGTCAGGACACATACCCAGGTTGTGGACGCAATCCCCAGTGGGGGGCATGCAAGAGGCAACCAATCAATGTTCTCTCTCATCGATGATTCTCTCTCTCTCCTTCTAAAATCAATTAAGGAAAAAAATTGTTTACAAAAAAGATAAAACTTGGAAAAGAACAAAATAGGAATGACATGATAATTAAAACTGATGTTACACCTAAAATCATGGCAATTACAAATATGTACACACACACACACACCTATCTTTTACTATCATAATCAACAGATTTACCAATTTGGGGCTGCAAATAACTTTCCAAATTGGGGGTGGAAGCTGGGGGGAAAGGTTAGAAAATGACCACAAGGCTGAAGAGAAACAGGAGAAAGAGAGAACAACATGGGGGGATAAGGACAACTATGCTGTATTCCCTAGAGCAATTTTCTTCTGGATGGCCCGAGCCTAGTGGCAGATGAGTGAATTAATAAGTCCAGCCACGGGGGAGAGAGATATTGGCTAGCATTGTCCCACCTGGGCCTATGGCTTGACTTCTGGAGCCTTGTCCCTAACTAGCCAGGCCAGCAACTCCCCTTGGCCCTTGAGGTGCCCCTTCACCACCAATCAAAAACTGGATGGTGGTGGTGGGAGGCTTTACATTCATCACCAACCCTAACCCCAAATAGATGACCTGGAACTTCTAATCTGTAAACATGAGCATGATGACAGTACACAAACCCATCAGGAAATGCATAAAGAACCTGTGCTTCTCTGACAGCTAAAAATATTTTTTAAAACCCAATACAGTAAGACCTTGATATAACAAATTTGGGCAAGGGGTTGTCCGTTAAAGCTGAAAGTCCATTATATAATAAAGGATTTCAGACTGTAACAGTTTTAAAAATTGACAAATTAATTAGTTGACCTGTTTTTACTTATGTAGGTACTTTTGTATAATTAAAATTAAGTATATATGAAAAGTTCAACTTCACAGAAAAGTTTTCCATATGTATTACTATAATTTTAAATTTATACTGAATAGGTCTAGTAAATTCATGCATTCACCAGTCACTGTGAGTAAACAAATGCCCACAGCTGGGGTGTGGATTATTAGCACACATTAGAACATCAGCCAACTCGCGTTAAAATTGCTGCAGAAAGTCACACCACTCAACAACAGAACCGATCACCTCGTGCACTTCGGTGTGATTACATGCTAATCATTCCCCGAACACTGTTTACAGGTGGTGATTCTTGAATTTAAATATATAGACTACAGTGTAGATGTGTAATATTTATGTCAGCAAAATTACTCGTTTTTTTCCCCAATATATGGCCTATTTGCTAAAATCTGTTAAAAATAACAATGAATTAATAACAACAAAAATCTGTTAATTTAATTATAAGCAAATCTTGGTTAAAACTATTTTAAAATTAATGGCATTAATTTTCACATATGAGCCCTGGCCAGTTTGGCTCAGCGGTTGGAGCGTTGGCCTGTGGACCAGAGTCCTGGGTTTGGTTCCCGCTAGGGGCATGTAACTCTACCCCCCAAAAGAAATTTTTCACATATGATACATGGACTGGAAATTTTGTCCAGTAAATCTTAAGTACATTAAATCGAGGTCTGCATAATTGAGTTTACTGTAAATAGGGGTGGGCAAAAGTAGGTTAATAATAATAATATAATAATTAATAAAGAATATACTGTCTTGCATACTCACAATTGTTAATCAACTTTTGCCCACCCATGTTTAAAAAATATATATATTTTATTGATTTTTTAGAGAGAGAGAGATAGAAACATCGATGTGAAAAACATCAATCTGAGAGAGAAACATCAATCAGCTGCCTCCTGCATGCCCCCTCCTGGTATGCGATGACGGGGAATTGAACTGGGACCTCTCAGTCCTTGGGACTAGCTCAAGCCACTGAGCTACACCTGCCGAGCCACACCCCCCATTTTATTTTATTTAATTTCTAACAGATTATTTTACAGAGAGACAGAAAAACATCCATGTGAGTGCAAAACATGGATCATTTGCCTCCTACACACCCGCTACTGGGGATCAATCCTGCAACCCAAGCAACCTTTGGGTACATGGGACAACAATTCCCAACCAACTGAGCCACTTTGGCCAGGGTGACCCATGTATTCTTTTATCAGTTAAAATTAGAAACAGATAACAGTGTTTAAACACAGACACACTAGTGATTATTTCTGGATTTTAAGCATTCCAGTAACTCCATTGTTTCATTGTATTCTTTTTAAAAAATGTTTTTATTGATGAGAGAGAGAGAGGGAGAAAGAGAAAGAGAGAAAGAGAAACATCCATGTGAAAAAGAAACTTAAGTTGCCTGCCTCCTCCACTGCCCTTACTGGGGAAGAACAAGCCCACAACCCAGGCAGGTGCCCTGACCAGGATTCAAACTCTAGGACGCTCAACCAACTGAGCCACAGAGGCTAGGGCTCTCTTTGTATTCTGATGGAATATTAAATGCCACACTAGGTCTACCTTACCAGTCGCTTGCTATAAAGTAGTGCTGTACTGCTACCACTGGAAACTGCCCATTTAGAAAAATGCATGACATGTTCCAATTGTTTAGAAAGTCCAGCCACTTCCTGTTGTTGTTGCATAAGTTTCATGCGATGGTCCTTTGCAAGGCTCTGAAAAGAAGAAAATAATTTCAAAATCAGTTCTGCCTATAATATATTTTAATGGTCATTTTCAGATTACCAAATGAGAATAACCATCACCTCTAAGAAAGTGAAAATAATCTTAATGTTGCTTTCCCCCCCTTAGTACAAAGGATCAGTCTTACTGCAGCAAACCACTGTGGTCCAAATGCTACTACAGCCACCGCTACCGCTACAACCACCACCACCACCACCACCACCACCACCACCACCACCCTCCCACCCCCAGCCCTCAGTCTGCTTTTATATATCCTGGGATTTAGAATTCTGTTCATGTATCTTCCAATATCCCAAAGGAGCAAGAACTGTAGATTAGCTATAATACAGTAAATGCCCATTAAATTCAATATCCACAAATAAAATAGATGTATCCTCCAGCAATCTAGTCAAGTTACCAGATTACATGATTTACTCAATCATAGGATTCCTATTTTAGGCATTCTAGTCCTCACTGAAACCAGTTTGTGCCTAGTTATGCCATATGACAAATAACACCTATGCTTTGAAGGTAGTGAAAAGACATAACTATTTTTGTCTAGTAAGAGTTACATGAGAACCCACTGATATAGTGACTAATGGTGCCAATGCGCTCTCACAAAAGCCACATAAAAGTAGAATTTCTCTATGAGGGATTTACCTTTCTCTAAGGGAAATACACAAGGAAGAACACAGATTAATAAAAAGTGAATAGCACTGAACTTAGGTTGTTTTAAGTCTCTGTCCAAAAAATCTCCTTTACTTGGCAAGGAAAGGGGAAAAAGAATGGGGCTTTTGACCGGTTTCAAAAAAGTTTAAAAGTAAAATTGCTATACTCCAGTATAGAATTACAGTCTCAATAAAAAATGAACCTAGATCCAGCCATAGTCAGTTTCAAATGTGGGAAATATACAAGTGCTAAGCTGAATTAAGGGGAAAACTGCAATGACTGTCAATGGCTTTGCCATGTCTAATTTACAGTTCAGAGATAACTTACTTAATTAGGCTATTTCTGACCTCTGTGGAAACTGTTTCTTTGGAGACATTCTAGAAAGAGCAGAAATTCTGTTTACTTTTAATTAGGTTGCAAATTGAGAATCAGAAGGTCTAGTTTCTTGGTCTTCCATAGTAACAACTATTTGAGCTGACTTTTCTCGAGTCTCAGATAAAACTGATTAAATTTACCTTAAAGGAGGATTCTGTGAACCAAGAGAATGGAACTGGAGGCATATTTAAAAGGTGCTGTAGCCCTGGCTGGTTTGGCTCCACGCTTAGAGCATCGGCCTGAGGTCTAGAGAGACCCAGGTTCGGTTCCCGTTAAGGGCACGCACCTCGGCTGCAGTTTGTCCCCGGCCCTGGTTGGTCATGCGGGTGGCAGCCACTCGATGTGTCCCTTTCATGTCGATGTTTCTCTCTCTCCCTCCCACTCTATCTGAACACAAAATGAAAAGAAAATGTTCTCGAGTGAGGATTAAAAAAAAAAAAAAAAAAAAAAAAAACGTGCTGTAAAAATTATAAGCCAATAAAGTTGATTTAAAATAATACTGATGCCTGGCCGCTGTGGCTCAGTGCTTGAGCATCGACCCATGCACCAAAAGGTTACCGATTCTATTCCCGGTCAGGGCACATGCCCAGGTTGTGGGCCTGATTCCCAGTGGGGAGCATGCAGGAGGCAGCCAACAGATGTTCTCTCTCAATGATGTTTCTATCTCTCTCTCCCTCTCCCTTCCTCTCTCTCTAAAATCAATAAAGGAAATAAATAATAACACTGATGACCAAGTTCATTCCTAGAGATCGGGAATTTGGTCATCTTTTGTTCCTTATCTTATTATTTTTGTTCCTTATCTTAATATTTTTAAAATCTGCAAGTGAAACTGAGTTAAAGTGAAGTGTAGAAACAACCATAGACGCTACTGATCTCTGAGAAAGCAATTTGAAGTCACTTTTGATTTTAAGCAGAGCTTTGAAAACTTCTAAAATTGTTTAAATGCTTCTATTTAAAAACAAAACACAGAACCTTGAAAAAATAGTTACTGTAAATGGGGTCTGATTTCTCCTGGCCAGAATAATTCTTCACTAAATAAGTATTTGTTTCTAAAAAAACAAAGAATTACTTTAGTCTTTATTTCCGGTGCAGTTGATAAATCACGGTCGTGGCCATGCCTTTTGCAGGAGGGACAAAACTTTCTGACAAATACCTCTTTTCTCATTCTAAGTTGTTTCTTTACTGTGAATTCCTTCTGCATCAATATACTTAAAAAATTCTAAAATATCATGCAATTAATATGTTAATATACCATGTAAAACTTGTAACCTCCATATTATTTGAGGGCAAACAGTGACTTTGGATCTTGACCTTCAGGAATATAAAACAGTTGAAGATAATGACATTTTTTCTTATCTGCAGTGGGAAACAACTATCCAAAATGCCTTGAGTATTTCTAAGTATTAGCTTTAGCAATTAAGACTATAAAATGTTGAGGGCAGGGGCACCTCCTTTTACCTAATATCTCATAAGGTTAAATGTATATAGTTGAAAACTAAATATAGCTAATTTAGTGTATCTTTCTAAAAATTTTGTTCAATTGCACCCCACCCCTTTGTTGATGGAAAATTGCCAATTCAATGAATCTCTAAAATGATTCCTCTCTTCAACATTTACAGAGCTCCTCTTGCAAGCAAGACATTATGTTTGGCACTATGAAGTAAATAATAAGAATTAAGACATTCCTAGTAAGAGTGTCTCTATTTGCTAGATGGGACACTGCCAGATTTATGAATCGCTTAATAAAGCCAACAGATCTCCAAATTTACTCAGATGAGTTTTTGTTAACCCTTCATATGAAAGTTTCTAATAATTCAGTTATTTACATTTGCCTTATAGGGGATGTCAAAAGCTCAAAAATGTTTAAATTCTTTACTCAGAATTAGGCAATTTAGAAATCAACTGAAATAGAATAAAGAATTATAATCTATAACACATCCTGACATAATTTGGTTTAAAAAAATTATTACTGGAGCCCTGGCCAGTTTGGCTCGGTGGTTAGAGCGTCGGCCTGCGGTCCAGTGAGACCCAGGTTCGGTTCCCGCTAAGGGCATGTACCTCGGTTGCAGTTTGTCCCCGGCCCTGGTTGGGTTGTGTGGGTAGCAGCCACTCGATGTGTCCCTTTCACATCGATGTTTCTTTCTCTCTCCCTCCTACTTTATCTGAACAAAAAATGGGAAAATGTCCTCAGGTGAGGATTAAAAAAAATTATTACTGGAGCCTGGCTGGGGTATAGCTTAGTGAATTGAGTGTTGTGCCATAGACTGAGAGGTCCCGGTCAATTCTTGGTCAGAGCACAAGCCAAGGTTGGGGCTCGATCCCCAGCAGGAGGTATGTAGGAGGCAGCTGATTGATGTTTCTTTCTCACATCAATGTTTCTGTCTCTCTCCCTTCCTCTCTAAAAAAAAATCTATAAAAACATATTTTAAAAAATTATTACTAGATATAGCAGAACAAATGTATTTTCTACCCTTTCCATAAATAGCCCAAGTTCTGGAAATACCACATAGCATATATGTACATCAACCTCATATATACTATTAAATAAGATTGTTCTTTCCTACACAGTACCATTCAATATTTGCCCTGTTAAACTTTCTTCATGTAGATTCATTCTCATTTTTTCAGGCTACAGTACTAAAGATTAACATTAAAAAAAAAAAAAAAAAACAGAGCCCGGCCGGTGTGGCTCAGTGGTTGATCATCGACCCATGCACCAAGTGGTCGCTGGTTTGATTCCCGGTCAAGGCACATGCCCAGGTTGTGGGCCCAATTCCCAGTGGGGGGCATGTAGGAGGCAGCCAGTCTATGTTCCCTCTCACTGATGTTTCTCTCTCTCCCCCCCCCTCTAGAAATTAATAAAGAAAAATTTTTTTTTTTTAAAAAGACATTCTTGCTGTTTTATAAAGCCATAAATAATGAGCTTAACAATAAGAGCCTGGCAAAGAAAAATATGGGAATGGAGAAGAAATACTATTGAACCATAAAACAATTATAAGAAAAAGGCTATGATTTCAAGTTCACAAATACATATGAAATTATATTAAATCACTACAACATACCATCTCATTAACAGTAACTTACCTCAAGCTGATGCAGTAGAGCTTTTCCTTTTTTATTTATTTCTACCATCAATGTAAATATAGCAACTTTAATATCTTGTTCCACCTGCTTTTGATTTTGATTTACTTCAATTATCCTAAAAATTAAATGAAAGGGGGGGGGAAATCTAAGGCAGAAAAGTTGTTTTACAATATTTAAAATTGATTTTCTAAGGTCTAAATTAGACCAAAATAGTCTCAGCACTTAAAAACCCAGCTACTTCTAAGAATGCTTCAATTTAAATTGAGTTTCTTGAAGGTAAGATAGTGGAAATACAAATTTTCTGAAATACATAGTCATTGAATTCAACCTTAAAGTCAAAGTGCATAAAATTTTAAGAGAATGAACACATTTTTAAGAAAATATGGTTTGGAAAGATTATAATAAGACCCAGGAAAATCAATACTCAGCCTAAAAGAAAAACATAAATCAGGAAGAGTTCTAGTTTTATTCACTGCAACTAAGAAGTATAAAAGGGTAAATGTGTCAGTCTTATTTATTCATCTGAACTGCCCCAGTATCCATTATACCTGAACAGAAGTAAAAAAGCAGTAGTTTGTTACTTTTAATAACATATTTGTCTTTAAATAAGCAGCCAAATAACTACATTATGCTTAATCAATCACCAAATGTGTTTTTTCCCTTTGATTAGAAAAAATGGAAATGCTGTTTTCATAGAGATGGAGATGGGCAAAAAGAAAACACATAGACAACATCACACCAGAGTATCTTATAGAAACAGAAAATAATAATGGGACATCCACTGAATATTATGAGATAAAAAGCTTCTTTTCTTCTGTCTGCTTCTCCCATAATTACTCTCTAACACTTAAGACCAAAAAGGCAGAGATTTTATTCTCTGTTGGAAGTTCTTCAAAATAATTATTTGACATCAATATTGCCTACAGGATAAAAAAAAACTAATTTAAATCCTCATGATGATCTCATGATGATAGAACAGGATAAAAAAAGGGACGAGTACCAAGCTTGCACATGTGTACAAATAAATTAACTGTCAAGTCAGTTTGTCTAGTAAATTTAATCCTTATATAATCAAGTAGGGTATAAAGATAAAAGCAATTAACATCTAACCAAAGATTCTTTCATTTTTAACATTGTGAAAGAGTAAGAAACAAGTCAAAAGGGTAAATTTCATCAAGGGTGGATCTTTCACATAAAATTAGCAATTTTACAATTGCTACCATTTGCCACTAGATGGTAGAAATGACTATAATTATCTCTCCTTATTCTAAAAAGATTCATTACAAGTTTTCAATTACTCAGTTACAAAAAAATTTTAAACTCACCAATTACTCTATTTGGAAAAGTACAGTATTATTATTAAAATAATGTAAGGGGAATCGTTTTTGGTTAACTATAGTTGTTATGTGAAAGAGAAGGTAAAATGAAATGAGACCGGATAAGGAAGAATAAAAGAAACTAAAAGACACACACTAAAACTGTTGTTACCAAAATATATAGTAATGACTAGATATACTAATAACAATGAGACATCAAGAAAAAGTTAAATTATATTTACTAATCTTTCTTTTTTGAAATCAGGTAAACCAAGGAATTTCTTGGAAAAAATTCCCAAATGCCCAACCCTAGTCATGTTCCAAAATTATAAGAGTAATGGTTTATGATGGCTCTTATGGAAGATGAACCACAAAAGGCTTATACAATTGTCCCTGAGAACAACACTCAAATCTTCTGTGAAGCCTCTCTTATTCAGGTTCTTTCTAAAAAGCATTTCTTGATCTGTTTAGGCAGAGGCATGTTAAAAGAAAGGGGACATGGGAATTTCCTAAGTGTTGTAAAGGTTGCAACATGTCAGAGTGTGCCCCAAAAGGAAGCTAGAAAACTCCCTCTTTCCCACAGAGGCCAGTGGTTTTCTCCACCAATCAATGAATTGTGAGACAAGATTCTTGGACAGTTGATGTTATCTTCCTTTGGAGGACAAAAATATAATAGGTAGTTATGTAGAAACTGTGTAAGTATTGTATCTGATAAGGAATAAAAGAGTGTGAAACAGGGTAACAATCCCTGTCTCCTGGTGAATGTCTCCAATTCACTGCAGTTAAAAGATAGCCCAGAGGAAGCATCTCAAAGTTTAGCAATTCTTAAAATAGCATTTATTTATATAATCAAGTGTTAAATTTTATAGTACTGGCAAAAACAGTTGATTTTAATTTTAAAATCCTATTTCTTTAAAATTAAAAAAAAAACCACATATAATCATGAATTATCAATATCTTAAATGAGCTGCTATGAAATGCAGTTTACCATCATAACAGTTTTAAATTTCATGGCTGAAAGGATGTTTTCAAACCCAAACTTTCCAGAAACCCAAAGATAAACCTGTAAGTCTTACCAACTATGTGTTATTTGAGCCATCTGGCAGCTTATGTGGATCTATTTCACCATGAGTTAAATAAATGTCTGTTCTAAAGTGAGTATACTTAATACATTACACAAAACTGACTTCTTATAATACTATAAATGTAAATTTACCTGTTCTGGATCTGATTTCCTGTGAACTTAATGTATTTTGTTTTTTCCATCAATTTGGTGATTAGTGTATCTATGATCACTTTCTGATTCTGAAAAGCTTCTTCTATAAATTGGTATCTGAAGAAATAAGTAAATAAGTCAATTATTACATGAATATATCTGTGTAAAATGAGGAAAAGCCCCAAAGCAAAGAAAAAACTGATAGACCACTATTTAAAATAATAAGAATATAAAGGATATAAGCAATCAACTAAAATACTAAATATATCCCTATAAGGCAGGTTTTCCTCTCCTGAAGAAGGGCCTGGCTGGTGTGGCTCAGATGACTGAATGTCATCCATGCACCAAAAGGTCAGTGGTTCGATTCCTGGTCAAAGCATATCCTGAGTTGTGGGCTCAATCCCTAGTACGGAGCATGCAGGAGGCAGCCGATCATGTTTCTCTTCCTCCCTCTCTCTCTAAAAGCAGTAAAAACATATTTTAGAAAAAGAAAGAGGAAGACTTTACAGATATTATTTATGGACGCTCTTTAAATTATTTTGAAAATTTGGAAGACACACATTCATAGTTTTAGACGAGTACAGAGCTCACTTGGCCAGAAGTAATCACAGATATTTAAGCAGAATTATTAACTATTTTACAATTTCATAACTATGAAAGTTTGATGCTACAAACATTTGAAGATCATTTTTAAACAACAGGCACTTAAAAATATTTAATTTAGAAGATGATAACCTCTGACAAATAAGATGACTCAAAAGTATCTGTAGAGAAACATTGTGGAAGATACAATATGAAGATTTTCATTACAAGTTTTTCATAAAATGTACAAAATACAGTATTTTAGATAATGTAATTTTAAAATATAATTAAGTGCCCGGCCGGTGGGCTCAGTGGCTGAGCATCAACCTATGTACCAAGAGGTCACCAGTTCAATTCCTGGTCAGGGCACATGTCCAGGTTGTGGGCCAAATCCCCAGTGGGGACATGCAGGAGGCGACCAGTCAATGTTCTCTCTCATCGATGTTTCTCTCTTTCTCCCTCTCCCTCTAAAAATCAATAAAGAAAAAATAATAATAGTATTAAAATATAATTAAATATTATAAACAGGGTTGCCAAAGTTAGAAAAAAGATACACATAGATGATAATTCTATTCGATTTCCGTTGTACATAATCATATTTATAAACATGTCTTTTTGAATTCTTTCTTAGATAAGTTTATCTTAAACTTTTATTCATTACTACACTGTATGAGATCCTAGTACAGTGTAATGTTAAATGAAATTGTCAAAATGGTCATCTTTATCTTCTTCCTAAATTCAAAGTAAAAACTTTCAATGTTCCAGTATGATGTTTATTTTATTTTTTCCTCATAATGTTTAGCAGGTTTAGGAAATTTCCTTTTATTCCTACTTTGCTAAGATTTTATATCATGGGTGCTGTGTGTGTGTGTGTTTATATTGATTTTAGAAAGAGGGGGAAAGGGAAAAGCGAGAGAAACATCGATACGATGTCTCTGTACACACCCTGACAGAAGACCAAACCGCAATCTGGGCATGTGCCCTGACTGGGAATCAACCATCAACCTTTCAGTGCGTGGGATGACGCTCAACCAAGCCACACCAGCCAGGGAAATCATGGGTTACATTATTAACTTAATGTTTCTTCTACCTCTACTGAGATGGTTATATAATTTTTCCTTTATTCTTTAAATATATGAATTAGATGAATGGTTTTCAGATGTTAAATAAACTTTGTATTACTAAAATTAGGCCAACTCTGTTGTGATTATACTATCCAAAAATCGTACCACTACTGAATTTGGTTTCCTAATTTATTTCTTAAAATTATATTTTATTATTCAATTACAATTTACATTCAATGTTATTTTGTATTAGCTTCAGATATACAGCATAGTGGTTGAACAACCTTATACTTTACAATTTCTTAGAATTTTTAGATTTCATATTATGGGTGAGACTACTCTAATTTTCTATTTCTATTCCTCATAAAACAAGCTGGAGAGAATTTATTCTTTTGCCATTCTCTGGACAAGAAAGTATATGTACCTTACCTATTCTGTAGATTAATCAGTGAAGTCATCTGGATCTGTACATTAGTTTGTGGGAAAATGATAAATTATGGATTGACATGAAATTAAAGAACTACTCTAATTTTCTATTTTATTTTGTACTAGTTTTAGTAAGCTATTCTTATTTTCTAAGAATTATCTCATTTCATGTAAAATTGTTCTATTGACATATCTTTTTTATATTTTTAAATGCCTTTACAAAATATGGTGATAACTACCTCTTTTTCACTCCTGTTATTTGGGCCTGCTCTCTTCTTCTTCACTCATAAAATGATTTGTTAATTTTACTAGTCTTTGAAAGATACAATTTTTGGTTTTGGCTAGTTCATTAATTTCTGCACTTGTCTTTATTATATCCCTTTCCCCACTTACTTTGCATTTAATTTACTCATTGTAACTTGCGATAAATGTTATTCAATATCTGCATTTATTATATATATATTTCGGTCTAGTCATGGTGTTAGCAGTATATTTCAAAAATAATATTTTCACTATCACTCAGATGAAATATTTTCTACTATACTAATACCAGGATTTCTTCTTTTACACTTCAGTATCTGCTTATTTTGAAGTAATTTCAAAGTTAAATTTACTATAGTATAGAGTTCTCACATATACCTTTACACTGATTAGTTTTTTCAAACATTGCTTCCTCATAGCCCTTTAACTCCTTAGTAATTAGTGTGCATTTCCTAACAAGGCTATTCTATTCTTTAACCACAGTATAATTATTAAATATATGAAAATTGACATTGAGATAATACTTCAATCTAATCTACTGACCATATCCAATTATGTCATTTGTCTCAATAATATCTTCTATATAATTTCCCCCCCTCTAGTCCTGGATACCATCCAAGATTATGCATCATTACATTTAGTTTCCACATGAATTATATTTCTTCATTTTCAAATATATGGAGATTTTTCTCACCTATTATTTTCCAGATTAACTGCAGTGTTTACACAAGACTGTGATTTTAATCCTTTGATATGTAAGACTGCTCTGGCTTATGGTTAAATTTTTTCTATTTATGTTTGAAAAGAATGTGTATTATTGGGAGCAGTATTTCTTAATGTCCATGAGGTTATTTGCTAATTGTTATTTGAATCTTATAGAAACACCCTTGTTTTTAGTGTGCTTGTTTTGTTGATTGTTGAGATGTTAAATCTCTCACTCTAACTGTACATTTATCTATTCTAAGTTCTCATTTTTCTTCATATATTTTAAGGCTATGGGGCATACATTTAGAACTGTTGTATCTTTTAGATGAAGAAAGCCACTTATCATTATAAAGTTGCCCCCTTTATCTCAAATAATGCACTTTGCTATGCCAGCTTGCCTTTGGTTAGTGTTTGTATGGCACATTTTCCCCCATCATTCTTTTTACATAGGTTTCACATGTTTCTTTTATAAAAAAACAAATAGCAGACTATATATATATATATATTTTTTTTTTTTTTGCTAATCTCATCTGGAGATATTTTTTCCATTGATTTTTCTAGAGAGTAGAAGGAAGAGAGGGAGAAGGGAAGGGAAGAGGAGGGGGAGATATGGAGAGGAAGAGAGGAAGAGAGAAACAATGATGAGAGACACATTGATTGGTTGTTTCCTGCATGTGCCCGGACCGGGGCCAGGGATTGAACCTGCAACCCAGATATGTGCCATTAACGGGGAATTGAACCCAAAACCCTTCAATGCATGGGCCGATGCTCTAACCACTGAGAAACTCAAGACCATGGCTAGACTTTCTATTTTCTTCTTATCCAGCCAGAAATATTTTAATTTGGAACATTTTATCCATTTACATTTATTATAATTATATTTATAGATGCTAACAAGTTAACAAGTCCTAATGTTATCCTATTGGTTCTTTATTGCTTTTTTCTTTGACCTGTTTTTAGACTGATTATTAATTCTTTAACCCCCACCACTTAAACGCTTTTACTATTTTCAGTGACTACTCCAGCTATTACAAAATACAGATCTCAACTTATCATCTAACATTGATTTATATTTTCTTACCCTCATCCTAAATTATGCCTAAGCCTTAGACCATGAATTCCATATCCTAACATGTCTGCTGTGGTATACAACACACACGAATGCACACCAAGACATTCTGATCGCTTTATAAGTAAGTTTTATTTAGATTTACAAATATTTATTTTAACTGCTCTTATTATGCCATGCATCATCTACCATTTTTCTTCTGCCTAAACTATACTTTAGAGTGAGGGTTTACTGGATATATATTCTCCCAATTTATTTTGTCTGAAAAATTTTTTTCATTAACCTTCATATTTGAAGAATATGTCTACTGAATATAGAATTTTAGTTTTGCAGTTATTTTCTTTATGCACTTTAAAAATATTACTTTCTAAGCTACCCTGCTGGGGGTAATGGAGGAGTCTTAAATATGGAGTACATGTCTTTCTTCAGTATTACAAAGTTCTAAGCCATTATTTTTTATTTTCTTTTAATCCTCACCCAAGGATACTTTTCCATTTATCTTCAAATGGAGTGGGAGGGAAAGGGAGAGGGGGGGGGGGGAGAGAGAGAGAGAGAGAGAGAAACATCACCATGAGAGGAACATAACAACTGGTGGCCTCCCACCTGATCCCAACCAGGGCCAAGGACCTAACCACAACCGAGGTCCATGCCCTTGACCATAATCAATCCCGTGACTCTTCAGTCCTCGGGCCAACGCTAACCGCTGAGCCAAATCAGCCAGAGCTGTATTTCCTAATGTTGCTTCCTTCTTTCTCTCTCACTCTCTTCCCCCCACTTTCTTCTTTCCTTCTTAGAGACCAGTTACATTCTGTGTTACATCTTCTCTATCCTTCATCTTTTGTCCATCCTCTGCTTATCATGCTTCATTCTGGAAATTTTCTTAATTTTCTTCTTGTTCATTAATTCTCATTTCCTGCTATGTCAAATCTGCTATTAAACTCTCTATTGAGTTACTATCAGATTCTCTAGATTTCAGTTCTAGACTTTTCCTTTTCATTCTTTGTGGTTTTCAGTTCTCTACCCAAATTTTCACTTTGAGTCTTATCTTCAATATAAAGATGCAGTTCTGAGGGCCTTTATTATTTTTTAATCCTCACACAAGGATATTTTTTCCATTGATTTTTAGATTGAGTGGGAGGGAGGAAGGGGGAGAGGGAGGGAGAAAGCAGGAGAGGGAGGGAGGGAGAGATACATCGATTGGTTGCCTCCTGCACTGCCCTGACTGGGGCTGGGGATCAAACCTGCAACCAAGGTTGATGCCCTTGACCGGGAATCAAACCCGAGACTCTTCAGTCTGAGGGCTGATCTCTAACTGCTGAGCCAAACTGGCCAGGGCCTAAGGACCTTTTCATACTGGTCGTTGTATCTACTAGGTTTTGTTCACATTGTATTATCTCCTAGCATACTTGGTTATCTTTAATTATGTGCTGGACCATTTTGCAAAATTCTTTATATATAAATGTGAGGCCTAGAAGGATGTTTTCTTTCTCCAGGGATGATTTATATTTGAATCTACCAGGTACGTTGGGGCAATAGCAATATGTTTTCAACTGAATTCAACTTTGGTTACAGAGAAGATTTGATGCTGAGCTTTAGTCCTGTGAGGAAATTACTTATCTCCAGCTACTTCATCTTTACTATAATAGTGTAGAGTTTCATGGTCCCAATTCAAAGCAATAAGACTTCAATCTCTATGACCCCTGAATTCCAATTCCTGTCTTCCTAGCCCTGTAGAGACTATTGAAAAGTACTCTTCAATCTCTAGGCAAATGCCTCAAAGAGGGGGGAAAAGTCCCTACCACGATCTGTCCCCACTCCAACCCAATCCTGGTCCAAGAGTTCTTTACTACTGAGCTCTAAAATTTCTTATCAACGATTTCCATATTTTGTCCAGGTTTTCTAGTTATCCACACTGGTATAGTTGGTCCAAATTATCTAGTCTTGCCATTATTAGGAGCCTGGACCATTCTAAGCAATTATGTATATGTATCTATTAATTAGTATCTTACTGTTTAAATCAGTGGTTGCTAATTCAGAGACCTTTAAAAGTCAGATTTAAAAGTAAGTTTTAGTAGCAACTATGATGAATTGGAAAAGACATGCCTCATTCTAAAGAACACCAAAGTCAATTCCAACCAAATGCTGACATGAAAGTTTATGGGGCCCAGGGATACAACAGCTTTCATTTTACAGCTTTTCATTCAACAGCTTTCAAAATACCACAGATCTAGTTGTTTTTGTTTTTAACGTAAAATCTCATTTTACAGTATACCACATGTTTTAAAACTGTGTGTAGGCTAATAATTCTTAGCTCAGGGTAATTTTGCTCCCTAGGCCATGTCTGAATACATTTTTGGTTGTGAAAACTGGGAGTATGCTACTGCAATCTATTTAACAGAGGTCAAAGATGCAGCTCAATACCACACAAAGCACTGGACAGCCTCCCCAACAAAGAATTATCTCTGGCCCAAAATGTCAATAATGCCAAAGTTGAAATATTCCTGAATAGGCCAACATACTGTCATCTGCAGACTGCCATTTGGCTAGGTGCCAGCAGTCCTCTAGTCTCATAAAGCTATATTATAAATCTATGTATATAATGAAAGATGCTGGTACCTATGCTCTTTATGTTCTAATAACTGGCAGTCCCGACATGTCAGTTTGTCACATGTTTCACAGTAAAGCTTTAGCTGCTCCTTCTTATGAAAAGGACAAAACACTGGTCGCTGACTGGTCACACCAACTGCCTCTGGAAAAACAATGAGAGGCAAAAAAAAAAAAAAAAAGGAAATTAACATAATTTAATAGTAAATAGTTATTAGATTGTTTATTTAAATTTAAATCCACTGAAATATAAAAGAGCTACAGTTTTGTCGACAACATCACTACCACTAGGTCTTACAGATATTAAAATGTTAAACATCTTCAGCATTTCAGAAAGAAAATATAAATGAGCTCTTCACTTTCCAATGTATAAATTCAAATTAATTCACAAAGAAAAGAAAATGTTAAATCATTAAAAATCTGCTTTACAAAGTTAAAAAGTCTTAACAGCCGAGTGTGAACCAACTTGATGTTTTCTATTCCATATATGGTGGGAAATTTTCAAAAATGCAGTTCAGAAAGTCTAATAAAGATGTGGTAAAAAAATTATTTCCTCCTTTTTGTAGAAATCCTAACAAAGGACACCCATTAACACAGAAATAATCATAAATTTTTCACTATTTATTACAGTCATCCATATAATTTCACAATAGTTAACCAGAACAACAAAACTGGGCAATACTTATGTTGTAATGTTAAATGAAAAAATTCAGAACACAAATAAATACAATGATTAATTAAACAGTAAACACTACCAGTTATCTCACTAATAATTAAATGTAAATTCCAAACATTTCAGAAATAACCTCACTTCTAGAGATAATCATTAATAACCTGGTATGTGTTCCTTTGGATGTTTTTCTATATATATAACTATACTAGTGGGTATTTTGTTTTATAAAAATTTTTAAATGGCACTACACATATTGTCTTGTAAACTTTTTTTCACTTAACTCTATCTTAGGTATCTTTTTTGTTAGTAAAATCATCTACTTATTTATTAACCCTACAGTATTCCATCAAATGGATATACCAACTGCCTGTGGACATTTGAATGTTTCCATTTTTCAATATTGTGTGATAATGCTGAAACAAACAAATGAAATGTATAAATCATTGAATGTTCCCATAAAACAAATTTCTACTAATAGGATTGTTGGGTCAAATGGTAATTTTTATATATTAATAAACAGTACTCTAAAAAATTGTACCAATTTGTACTCCTACCAATGTAAACTGGCCATTATTAGTTTACTAATAAGGTTTTCTCAAAATCTTTGATCTTCACCAATTTGATAAGAAAAACAAAGATTTCACAATCTTTGGATGCATTTCTTCAATAACTGAGATGGGGTAACGACACATTCAACCATTTATATTTCTTTTAAGAGTCTGTTTAAAACCTCTATTATTTTTCTGTCCAATTCTCTTCTCAACACATTTAATATTTTTTCCAAGCACATTAAATTTTTCTTTTAAAAATTCTAAACTATTGGACCAATAAAACATAATATTTTTTAATGTATTACTTCTATAAACCAAAAATATAAATAAATGTTATGGGCTGTTTCAATCCAGGGACAGTCTCTAAGAGTGGATGTTTTTAACAGGACCAAATATCACCTGGTATGAACCAAATATGCTCAAAGATGTTTTTGATGGGACCAAATTTGAAGGATCTTTCGGTGTGGGGATCACATGTCCCAGTGAATATTTTGAACAGAATGAAAAGTCCTGCAAGAATTCCAGCAAGGCACCCTTGCCGGTATGGTTCAGTTAATTGGACACTGTCCCGTATACTGAAAGGTTGCCGGTTCGATTCCTGGTCAGGGTACATGCCCAAATTTCAGGCTTGATGGTAGGGGATGTGCAGGAGGTAGCACATCTATGTTTCACTCTCACATAGATGTTTCTCTTTCTCTCTCTCTCTCTCTCCCCTTCTATTTCTCTCAAAAAATTTTCTTAAATCCAGCAAGGTAAAGATGGTTCAAGATTACTAATCTGAATATCCTCCCTGTATCCTTCTTGATGTTCATCAAGATGGGTATGGGCATCACAGTTGATAGGGTGACTATACATCCTTAGTTGGCTTGAAACATCCTGGTTGTACCTTCTGTCAAGAAATAATTATTTATAACGCTTCTGACTTATATAACTAGGAAATCATGTCATCCACTTATATGTCGACTTCCTTTATTTATTGAAGAATTTAGATCCTGACTCAGTCATCCTCCTAGGACTAAGTCTCACTATCATTCTGGATGAGTCAGAAATCCACACAGATTACCACAAAACAAGTCTCTCAGATTTACTCATCTCCAGAGATTTATACTTCACTTTAGCTACTTATTCCATTTAATATACATCTATACATCATGATCCCACCCTAGATTTTAAGTTGATCATAACCGTTCCATTTCCATAATCATAATTTCAAACATCCTACTCTAATAACTTCTAACCTTCCAATTCTCAGATTAACTACTCCCACTGTACTTCATATCTCTAGTCCCTAACCATTTCTTTCACCCTATCAACTGACACTATCAACTTCACCTTCCTTATACAGTTAACTTACCCAAATTCTTTATTTTAATACAAGCATCTGCATCTCTTAGCCTGTTCAATTTTCGGAACACATGTCCAGCTAAACCCCTAGGTAAGTTCAATTCTTCTCTATAACCACACTTCTGAGGTCTGATAGAGGACATTTTGAGGCCTACGCAACAAATGTAATCTTGATGCTATCAAGCAATCCTTCTGTTTCCAAAGCTGATGCTGTTTTTCAACTGGAGTTATTTTAAATATCCTCAAATTCCTTACTTTTTATCTCTATTTCCTGGCTGGCTTCAAAGAAAAACAGAAGTCTTTCTAGCACTAATCTATTAAGTTTACCTGAATCTATCTATACCTGGCATTTTCTCTTTTCTTCATCAGTGTCCTCAGAAATTACAGCCCCTTTTTCTGTGTCTCCAGACTCCTATCCTCATCTCTTATTCCTCCTCCTCTTATATATTTATTCTCCAGCTACACTCAACTTTCCACTTCTGGAAATTTGGGCATGTGTTTCAGTTTTCCACACACCCTCTCCTTCATGTGATAAACTATTTATCCTTGAAGCCCCAGATTTGGCCTCCAACCTAAATCTCCACATCTGAGTTTGGTACTTATTTCTTTCATATGCTCTCATAGAACTTAATGAACCAAAATATATCTGCTAATTTGTTCACAGTCTTCATCATACTAATAACTCAAGGGTAGGAAATATCCGTTTTTGTTAATCCTCACCCAAGAATATTTTCCCACTGATTTTTAGATAGAGGGGAAGGGAGGGAGGGTGGGAGGCAGAGAAACATCAATTGGTTGCCTCCCGCACCACCCCATCCAGGGCCAGGGATCAAACCTACAACCCAGTTACATGCCCTTGACCGGAAATCAAATCCAGGACCCCTCGGTCTGCGGGACAGTGCTCTATCCACTGAGCCAAACCAGCCAGGGTGGAAGTATCTGTTTTAATTTAACCTTTCATCTCTAGTATCTAGCAAAGTTCCTGAAATATAGAATAGGCATACAAACAGTACTGGTTGACTCAAGAAATAAAGAACAGTGAAATAATATTTCTAAACAAAAATAAATTAATGAGCCATAAAAATGAAGGAAATTCTGATTAAATACAACATGAATGAACCCTGAAAATATTATAAGAAGTGTAATAAGCCAGATATACTGTATGATTCCACTTGTATAAAATATCTAGAATAAGAAAATTCACTGACAGATAGATTAGAGGTTAGCAGCAGCTGGGGCAGACAAGAATGGGCAATTACTACTTACTGGGTACAGTTCCTTTTAGGGATGACAGGAAAGTTTTAGAAACAGACAGTGGTGATGGCTGCATAACACTGAATGCAGTTAATGTGGGTGAATTATAGATGTAAAAATGGTTAAAATGGAAAATTTTAAGTTATACATTTTACTACAAAAAAAGTATTAGTGAATTTTACAGTATAAGCAACACAATAAAAAACCCCAAATCATAATTATATAAAAAGCAAAACTTTTTTGGTTATCTACATATCAAATATCACAAAACAGGTTTACTACAGTATATCAAAAAAAAAAGTTATATAACTTTTTTCTATGCTTGTCATCTTAGAAATAAAAGAAAACCCCGGCTGGTTTGGCTCACTGGTTGAGTGTTGACACATGTACCAAGAGGTCGCCAGTTTGATTCCTGGTCAGGACACAAGCCCAGGTTGTGGGCCCGATCCCCAGCAGGGGCATGCAGGAGGCAGCCAGCGGATGTTCTCTCTCAATGATGTTTCTATCTCTCTCCCTTCTTCTCTCTCTAAAAATCAATAAAGAAAAAAATTTTTTAAGAAAATAAGTTTAAAAATCAAGTTTATTTTTTCATTTGCTATACATTCACACCAAATTAAGGCACTTATAGGAAGGCGGGTTGGAAGTATGAATGTAAGTCAGAAGAATTCTATTTCTATTTGTGCTTACTAATACTTGTAAAAGTATTCAAATTTCAACTACAATAAAGACCTCCTTATTTAAAAAAAAAAAAAAAACAACCAAGGGTATATTCAATGCTTCAAAACATGTCAGTGGAGGAAGAAAAAAAAGAGAGGGATAGAGAAAAAGACATTAAAAGAACTAATGCATTACCTGGAGATACTTCCTCTTTCTGCCTCACAGTGTGGTCTTTTGTGAACTTCACCCTTTGATGAGCTCTGATGCATGTCTTGCAGAGCCATTCAACACATTCTACACAAAACCCATTAGCTTCTGCATTGTCCTCACAGCTTGTACACACCTAATAAAAGAAACATGTCCCAATAATTCTTGAGAAAAATGAAAAGGTGGTCATACCACTAGTCATATGTAAATGACACAACCATACTTAACTTTATCACTTATCTTCTTAGCAGCGTTTGTAATTTAAACTGACATTATGTTTTAAATTATAAACATATGAAATAGAAATATAAGGACAATGTCCTTGGTTCAATATAGCTAATATTTCAGGCACTATGCTAAGTGTTGATGATACAACAATCAGGAAAAATAAACACAGTCGCTGACCTTATGATACCTAGTCTCACAAATGGAATATGGGATCAAACCCCAGTTCCTCCACTTATGAGCTGCGTAGTCTTGGGCAGGTTATTTAGAATGCTCATGTTTATTTATTTAATTATTTTTAAAAGATTTTAAAAGAGAGATGAAGGGTGAGGGAGAGAGAGAAACATCGATGTTAGAGCAGAACACTGATCAACTTCCTCCTGCATGTCCCCACTGGGGATCAAACCCATGACCTGGGCATGTGCTCTGACTAGGAATCGAACCTGCGACCTTTTGGTTCACAGAATGACGCCCAACCTAGCCATACCAGCCAGGGCTAGAATGCTCACGTTTAAAATGAGGATAATAATAAAGAATTTAGTGAGTAGTTGTGAAGATTAAATATGAGACAAACATTATTGAAATAATCACACTAATACATAACTACAAACTGAGAAGTGTCATAAAGGAAAAATACAAGATGCTGTTAACATCATATAATGGGGGAAACTGATCTCATTTTAGTGGGGCTGAAGAGATGGGAAAAGTGAGAGGAAAGATTACCAAGCACGGCTTTCTCTAGCACCAACATATCAAAGTTGAGTCACCAATTACTGATGAAAAGCCTTTTAGGCAGAGAGAACAGCACATACAAAAGCCTCTGGCAATAAGGACATAGCAGGTTCAAAGAGCTGACCGAAAGCCAGTATGACTGAAGTGGAGAGCTCAAGGGGAACACTGGCAAGGGAAGCTGGTAGCAAGGTAGGCAAGAGCCTGATGAAGCAGGATCACAAGACGATTTGGTCTTTGTCTAAAGAAGTCTCCTAAAAGCTTTTAATAAGTGACATGGCCAAATTTGTATTTTTAAAATCACTGCCACTGTGCTCTGGCATTTTGTCTCAGCGGTTAGAGCATCGGTCCCTGGACCAAAGGGTCACGGGTTCAATGCCAGTCAAGGGCATGTACCTGGGTTGCAGGTTCAATCCCCAGCCCAGTCGGGGTGGTGTGGGAGGCAACCATTCGATATCTGTATCTCACATCAATGTTTCTCTCTCTCTCCTCCTCCTCCCATTCACACTATCTAAAAAAGAAAAGAAAAAAATCAGTGAAAAGGATCAACAAAAAATAAAATAAAATCGCTACCACTGCAATGTAGAAAAGAGATTAGAAAAGAGGCAAGTGTTTCTGCTTAGAGACAAGTAGATGTTTTGTTTTTTTTTTATCCTCACCCGAGGACATTTTTCCATTTTTTATTCAGACAGAGCAGGAGGGAGAGAGGGAGAGAGAGAGAGAGAGAGAGAGAGAGAGAGAGAGAGAGAAATATCAACGTGAAAGGGATACATCGAGTGGCTGCCACACACACGACCCAACCAGGGCCGGGGACAAACTGCAACCAAAGTACATGCCCTTAGTGGGAACCGAACCCGGGTCTCTCTGGACCGCAGGTGAACACTCTAACCGCTGAGCAAAACTGGCCAGGGCAGTAGAAGGCTTTTTGTGGTTTAGGTGAGAGTGGATAGAAGTGGAGATGAATAAGGAGACTTAGAAAGTAAAACAGACTGGTTTGCAGAATGCACAGCATATGGGAGGTAAAGAAGAGATAGCTCCTATATTTCCGGCATGTACAACTGTGTACATGGTATTCTCTGAGTTACACAACATAGAAACAGTTCTCTTATCATCAGTGATTGGGGAGAAAATTTCCCCCTCAGTCAGTGGTTTACATTAGCCACATTCCAAATTACCTGGACAACACTCTATTAACCAAAACATGCCTTTTCTTAGCTCTTATCATCTTCAGCTTTTCTAACATTATTTGATGGCACTGACTCCTACTTTCTAGAAATCATTTTGATTCCTTGAAACCTCCAGATCCTCTTATCTGTCTGAATGCCCCTCTGAATACCATCACCACTCTTCTTCTTTTGATTCTACAGATTTTTGTTAAATGTGGAGATTGGTCTCATTCACTCCCTTAGCTTCCACAGTCACCTCTATAAGGATGTTCCCTAAAACTCAATCCCCACACTATGCTACAAAGAGAAATAAAGGATCTCTGTATATACTGCTAGGGAGGGATCTCTAGTACTATATAAAGTAAACTTTTAAAGCACAGAATGCCACTACTTATTTAAGAAAGATGGGGTTTGGGTGGGATGACTTATTTGCTTATATTTTTAAAGCATTTTAAATTATATAAAAATACAAGAATAAACCATTAAAGAAATTAAATGGTTACCTATAAGGCAGAGAATAAAAAAGATAGAGGGGTAGATGAGATAAAGTTAGAAGTCTGAGTACTCTGAATACAGCCTGTGTTATAGATTTTACTTTAGAACAATATAAATATTTTATATATAGTTACACAAATTTAAATTTAAAAAATTAAATCCCTAGATATCAAAAACAAAAATGAAACACATGAACCTGCTATCAAGTTGGTGACTTCACCATACAGAGAATAATAATTTACTTCAAGTAACTTTAAAAGATGATAATTTAATTATCTTCAGTGCATACACGTATTCTGTCTCTCTTGCTTTGTTTTCACAGAAACAACTCTAATTTCTACTTTCAGCACCAACTCTATTCTTTTATACTCTTACTCTGCAAGCCATATTTATGTTTTATGAGCTGGTTTCAAATTAGATTCCAAGAATAGGTGGTACTGCAATGCCAGAGGAAGGAAGAAGGTACTTGATGTCTTAGTGGGCTTCCTATTTGCTAGCGATTTCTGTACACATCACACAAATCAAAGCTGCTTCACCCCAGCAGCAGCATTTCCTCCTCATAGCAACAGTGAGCTCGAGCTTGCAGTTTTTCTAATACTTGTAAAAAAAAACCAGCTTTAAAAATACCAACACCATTGGCCTACTCCTGCTCCTCTGAGGTTTGAGATTCCAAGGCCAAAGGCTCAGAAACCATAGCAATACAAGAAGCACCTCCTCTTCTAGTGTTTTAAACTGACATTACATAAGGCCCATCCTCTAGCTTATAATATTCCTGTTCCCAAAGCAATCTTGAAAAAGAACAAAGTTGGAGATATGCTATCTGATTTCAAACTACATTACAAGGCCATAGTAATCAAAACAGCATGGTATTGGCATAAAAAGAGACATACAGATCAATGGAACAGAACGGAGAACCCAAAAATGAACACCAGCTATATGATCAATTAATATATGACAAAGGAAGCAAGAATGGGGTCAAGATAGTCTCTTCAATAAATGTTGTTGGAAAAAACTGAACCAATTCATACAAAAGAATGAAACTGCACCACTTATACAAGAATAAATTAAATATAAATTTAAAAGACTTAAATATAGGACCCAAAACTATAAAACTCCTAACTCTTTTAACATTGCTCTTAGTTTGTTTTTTTTTTCCTTTGGAAATATCCTTTCGGACAAGGGAAACAAAACAAAAATTGGATAGCATCAAACTAAACAGTTTTTGCATAACAAAGAAAACCAACAAAACAAAAAAGACAACCTAATGAATGGGGGAAGATATTCACAAATGATACATCTAATAAGGGGTTAATATCCAAATACATAAGGAACTCATACACTCAACAAACAATCCAATAACAAACAATCCAATTAAAAAATGGGCAGAGAGTGTGAATAGACACTTCTCCTAAGGGAACACAGAGATAGTCAAGATGCTCAACATCACTAATCATCAGGGAAATGCAAATTAAAACCACAGTGAGGTAGTACCCTCACACCTGTCAGAATGGCTATCATCAATAATCAATAGATAGGTGTTGGTGAGGATGTGGAGGAAAGGGAACCCTCTTACACTGTTGGTGGGATTACAAATTGGTACAGTCACTATGGAAAACAGTATGAAGGTTTCTAAAAAAATTAAACATAGAACTACCATGACTCAGCAATACCACTTTTGTGTGTTTATCTGACAAAAATCCAAAAATGCATATGCACTCCTATGTTCATTGCAGCATTATTTACAATAGCCAAGATATGGAAGCAACCTAAGTATCCATCAATAGATGAATGGATAAAGAAGTGTGAGGTGTGTGTGTGTATACATATATATATATGTATGTGCATATATATATATATATATATATATGTACAGTGATACCTCGGTTCTTGAACGCCTCGGAATCCGAACAAATATTTGGAACTCGAACTTCCGAGATGAGCCGAGTTGAGCCGAATGGCGTTCATTCGGCCCAGCGCGCCTTGCTTGCGTCATCAGTGTGAGTGCAGAGAGAGAGTCACGCTTTGTGGAGTCACGCTTTCCTATTGGGTTTCATTGCTTCGGTTCTCGAACAATTCGGTTCTCGACCGTCCTCCTGGAACGAATTATGTTCGAGAACCGAGGTATCAAGAACCGAGGTATCACTGTGTGTGTGTGTGTGTGTGTGTGTGTGTGTGTGTGTATATAGTGTGTGTGTGTGTGTGTGTATACACACAATATAATGTTACTCAGTCATAAAAAGAGAATGAAATCTTGCCATTTGCGACAACACAGATGGACCTAGAGGGTACTATGCTAAGTAAAATAAGTCAGACAGAGAAAGACAAATACCATTATGATTTCACTTAAAGGTGGAATAAAAACAAAATAAATTAACAAACAAAACAGAAACAAACTCATAGATGGGAAGGGGAGTTGAGGGGACTGGGTGAAAAAGATGAAGGGATTAAGAATTACAAATGGGCCTGGCCACTGTGGCTCAGTTAGTTGAGCTTCATCCCATATACAAAGAGGCTGCCTAATTGATTCCCGTTCAGGGCACATGCCTGGGTTGCAGGCTCGATCCCTGGTGGGGAGCGTGCAAGAAGCAGACAATCAATGTTATCTCTCTCATCGATGTTTCTATCTCTCTCTAAAAAAAAAAAATGAATAAAAACAATTTAAAAAAATTACAAATGGCCATTTATAAAAATAGTCATCAAGATGTAAAGTATCACATAGAGAATATAGTCAATAATATTTTAATAATTATGTATGGTGTCAGATGGATACCAGACTTAACAGGATGATCACTTTGTAAGTTATATAAATGTCTAATCACTATGGTGCACACCTGAAACTAATATAATATTGTATGTCAACTATAATTTAAATTTTTAAAAAAATTCAAATTAACATTATAAAATGAATTAAAATGATTTTTGATTGTACCAAAACTGTCATAACTTATAACGTATAATGTACATTACATATATTTGTACATATATTTTATATATTACATTAATATTCATTTTAATAATATGACTATATCACTGTATTAATATTTATTTTTTATATATCTGAAGAAAATAAATAATCATGTCAATGTAATTAAGAACCAACATTTCCAGTACTGTAGAAGTGAGATGAATAAAAAATAAAAAAGGTAAAACCTGCCCTGACTTGGTGGCTCGGTTGGTACATCATCCTGTATACCAAAAGGTTGTGGGTTCAATCCCTGGTTGGGGTTCATATAGGAGGCAATCGATCGATGTTTCTCTCACTCTCAAGATCTATGAAAATATATTCTTGGGTGAGGATTTAAAAAAAAAAGTAAAACCCTACAATTATAAATTACACACAAACACACACACATACTTTTGAGGTATTCTCTCTCTCTCTTTTTTAAAGTAAAAAGTATTTGTTCAATCATTCTCCTGAAAGATATAAAAACATGACTAACCCAATGGTGATGAGCACCCCTAGCACCCATATTATGGTCTCCAAATACCTTTCCTGATAAAAAGAAACCAAGGGTCATAAAAGAAATGGCTGGTTCCAGGTCTAGAACAGAAAATGACTGGTATCTTGTCAAAAGAGAAAGCAAGGGAGACAGCAATGACTATGGTGATTGTTAACAGAAGGACCTGGGAATCAACGTGAGACTCCCATTGCCAAATGGCACAATTTGAGCACCAATAAGAATAACTACAACACATTTTATGTTAATAATCCATGATTTTATAACAATAAAAACAAGCATCTAACACTCAGGAGTCACCTCTGAAAAATGCTAAAAAACTAAGTCACTACTCTAAAAATTAGCAACAAAAGGGAAAGAATCAACGTTTAACCTACTTTCCCTGTTAAACCAAAGAATAGAAAAAGAAAGCTGTTTCCATTCCAGTGATGAAATAAAGGGGAATGATAGAATGACAATGTAATCATTTTACAAAGCCCTAATAAAATATGGGATTTGGCAGTGGTCATTAATAGACATAAACATCAGAAAAGAGAAAGACAACTAAATGTCATATGCCTCCATGAGAGAAAGTATTTACATATTCCCTCACCTGCCTCACTCCTGCACAAAATGGGACCTGAATCTCACCCAGCCTCTACCTTTTTATTACCAGTTTACACAAAATACAGAAGAGAGAGAAGCATGTTAAATGACTTTATGAAAATGGCCAGCAAAATACAGAATAGGGCTCAGTCTACTGGACTAACAATACAGTTTATCCAAAAAATATGGAAAAAGAAAGTCAGTGAGAGGCAAAAGGATAATCTGAGATTACATGAAAGACATTTTTGAGACAAATCAATCAAATGCACTGTATAGGACTTAGTGGATCCTTATAGAAACAAACCACTGTTTAAAAGAAGAAATGGAGATATTTAATCAGTGTCTGGATATTTGATGATATTAAGGAATTACTACAAATTTTTACATATAAATTAATATGGTGATTGTTTATAGAAAACCACCATTTTCCCATAGAAATAAATACTAAAATATTTATGGATTAGATGATATAAAAGCCTGGGATTAACTTCAACATAATATAGTGGGGGGAAGGGTGTCAGGTTATCCTATTTAAAACAAGAGCTGATGACTATTGAGCTAGGTAATGGGTATATGGAGTCTGTTATGCTAAACTGTCAATTTTGGGGAATGCTTTTATTATCCATCACAAAAAGTTTTTAAAACTTTATCTCTAGCTATAAATTCTTCAGAGCTCCAATGTGACCACATACATCTCTACCTTAGCCTTATAGAAAAACTAATCACATTCAAAATCAATTCCCTACACCTCTGTCTACTGTTGAAAGGAACCACTATCCTGGCAGTGGGACTCTCTCATCTTCCACATGCAATCAGGTATATCAAGTCCTGAGTGGACTGTGACTTACTCCTTCCTTTCCTTATCACCACCATGTTAGTTCAGCTCTCACTACCTCTCATCTAGAGCTTCCTAACTTCAATTCATCCTATATTGTCACTCCTCTAGTTTTTATTCCCAAAACATCCCTCCAAGCATCTTGTTCTTTGAATCAAATTTAATACTCCCCACTTCCCCACTTATTTAACACTGGAGATGTCTATCAGACTTTATCTCTAGTTTAATTATAACTTCTTTTATGTTTCTGTGACAGAAGCAGAGTAAACAAACAAACTTACTGAAAACAATTGATTGTAAAGAGGCATAAAGCAACTGTCTAGATTTGAAATTGTCTAGATTTGAATCCCTTCAATTCTCACCTCTTATCATAATTTCATGTTGTATCATTAATTCCTCTCTGTTGGTTATGCTGCTTTGCTTTTGAATTTTCTGGATTGATCATTCACAGGTACTACTAGAGTGTACCTGATGAACTATGTTGTGTGATTATGACTAACAAAATACATCTAATATAAATATTATCATATATAAAGCAACGTGATATGGCACTTTAGACAAGAGAAACAAAACCAGTAGTACTCAGAAGGGAACTGTCAGAGGGGTTATTTGACACTGTAGGCTCACATGATTAGTCCATTCCTTAAAGCTGGTTTCACAATTACCCCCATACCAAATGCTGTTTTGACCTTGATGAAAGTTCATATTAGGAAGAGAGTTGTGATTATTATTGAAACAAAAAGAAGTATTTTAGTTAGTAGCGGTCATGTTCATTTAAAGTGAACCCTAAATTCCTAGTTCCCAAGGGAAAAAATGCTGAAAAAGAAAAGTATTGAAACTTAGTTGTGTGATTACTAAATCTAAACATTAGTTTTTAGATTTTTACAATGTAGATTAATAATCATTTTTCCATAATTAGATTCTGTTCCTTCACAGATCTTTGGTTCTAAATTAAAGAAACTGCCTAAAGAAACTATCAATGAATCATGATCCAAAGATAGACTAATACACTACACTTATTTAGCACACAGTGCAGAATTATAGCTCGCCTCTGCTGGAGTACATCCACTAGGAACCTGTCACTTCGATTTAAGAGGCCAACAGAAATGTTCTACATGTGGGTTTATGGAAGTGGGGGTAGAAAGGGGACCACCATTGGATTTCTCAATGCAACATCTTAGACAATGAGGCTTTCAAAGAAATACCATATAGAAAAGAAGATGTTCTTAAATGTAGAAATTGTACTGGATCAAAGACATGAAATTTTTCATACGTATTATTACAGAGCTTATCAGTAAAACAGAAAAAATTTAAAAGAGGGGCCTTAAAATTAAAAATCTAATTGTCATTATAGACTAAAATGACAAAGAAGTAAAACTAATGACAAATATAGAATAATGATTTTCTTTGAGAGGACAGAGCAGGTAAGGGGTGTCATTCAGGGCTTCTACATTGGCACTATTTTATTCTTTAAGATGAATTATTCATTATACTTTATAGATGTATATACCTTTAAAACAGTATGTCATTTCATAGATATAATGCTCTAATGTCTGACACCTTTTATTTTCCAGTCCTCCAACATTTCAGGCTGCCTCATTAAGAGGAGACAAAAGAATTAAGACTTAATACACTTACCTGATTAGACTTTTCTACTGTACTGCTGGGAACTTCAGTAGTATCCTTCACAAAAAAATTATCTATGATATGTCGCTCTGCACATTCTTGGCTACAAACTGGACATCGAATGACTCCAACTGGAAAAGACATAAAAACTGAGGTATAAGTGACATTATATTACCTTCATGTGTACAACGTAATTCAATATTTGTATATATTGCAAAATAATCACCACAATAAGTTAACATCCATCACTATACACTGTCACTTTTTTTCTTGTAGTAAGAACTTTCAAGATCCACTCTCCTAGCCACTTTCAAACATGCCATACATTATATTATTAACTACAGTCACCATGCTGTACATTATATTCCCATGACTTATTAATTTTGGAGATAGAAATTTGTAGCTTATATTCTCTTCATCCATTTCATTCACCGCTCCCCAACTCCTCATCAGGCAAACACCATGAGCTCACATTTAAGTTTTAATACAAATCTACAAAGCACTACACCAACATATACCATCCAACCTGTAAACAGGTTCTCTTATAACGTTCACTCTTCAAATTCATACCTGCTGCTACTGAACACAAAGCAATTCAGTTTATGTACATATATGAATTATATGTATGTGTGTGTCTATAAATATCCCATACCTAGTATATTAAATGAATAAATCTTCATAATTTTAAATCAGCTACCCCTCCAAATAAATATCCCTATGGACTACACTTTTTACTGTTTAGCAACTTCTCTAACAGTGGTTTCCAAATAGGGATATGCAGAAGCACATGGGAGATTTCTAAAAGAACAGAGTGCTCTGGTTCTCTCTGGAAGTATAGAATCGGGATTTGTGAAAGTGGAGCACAGGCATACTTGTTTTGTTTAAAATCTCCTTGGGAAATTAAGAAACACTATTTTGATTCCCTTTAAAACATGCAAATAATGATCCTTTCATGGGGGGGGTCATCTTTTATAGTGCTTGGTAAAACAATTAATAATTATAAATGTATTAAAATATAAATTTTTAATGAAATTTTTAATAAACTTTATGCTATAATTTGTACCAAGGAGACTGTAGTAAGATTCTCAGATATAGTTTCGAAAAATAAAATGTTTAAAAATGAATACAAAATAATACAAAGGTCAATTTTATTTGTATATACAAGCAATAAACAAATTTTTAAAATTTAAAAATGCATTTTAAGATTAACAACAAAGTATATTAAGTACTCAGGAATAAATTATTAAAAATGTGTAAGCCTGTGTGGAAAAAAAATGTCAAACAATATTTAAAAACCTTAAAATATATCTAAGTAATATAAAAAACATATTCATGATGGTCAAGATGGCAAGTCTCCCCAAACATATCAACGTATTCAATGCAGTTTTATGAACAATCCCAACAGGAATTTCAATAGAATTTTTCATTGAAGTTAAGAACTACAACTATTCAAAATATTGCTATAAACAAAGTGAGAAAACAAACTTGAAACTGTAAGATATACCCAACACATAGTACTGACAAAGGATTAATAATTAAAATCTGTAAATTTGTGCCCTGGTCGGTTTGGCTCAGCGGTTAGAGCGTCGGCCTGCGGTCCGGAGAGACCCGGGTTCGGTTCCCGCTAAGGGCATGTACCTCAGTTGCAGTTTGTCCCCGGCCCTGGTTGGTCGTGCGGGTGGCGGCCACTCGATGTGTCCCTTTCACATCGATGTTTCTCTCTCCCTCTCTCTCTCCCTCCTGCTCTATCTGAACAAAGAATGAAAAAGTGTCCTCGGGTGAGGATAAAAAAAAAAAAAAAAAATTCTGTAAATTTGTGACAACACATTTCACAGAAGAGAAAGATTGCACAAACACATTTTTCTTTATTCCTCCAGATAAGTATGGCTGAAACTCCAGACATTCTATATAAAACAACCTAAAGACGACTCATAAAAGGAAGAAAGGTGGCAGACCAGCTAGAGACCTCAAAACCTAAGGAACCTAGTCTTCCTCTTAGCCTTATATAATAAAGTGGGTGTTCACAAAGCTACCATCCCCAAAACACTAACAGGTGTAAAAAACTATAACAAAAAGCACACAGAAGCATGCTTCCTCTGTCCCAGGGGTGGGGAACCTTTTTTCTGCCAATGGCCATTTGGATATTTATAACATCACTCAAGGACAATACAGAATTATCAACTTAAAAATTAGCCTGCTAGCTAGGAGACATAGCAACTCTCCCTAATACATAGAAACAAACACAGGGAGGCAGCCAAAATGAGGAGACAAAGAAACATATCCCAAATAAAAGAATGGAACAAAACTCCAGGAAAAGAACTAAACAAAATGGAGATAAACTATCTAACAGATGCAGAGTTCCAAACACTGCTTATAAGGACGCTCAATGAACTTAGAATTTCAAGGAGCTTAGCGAGGACCTCAAAAGCATAATAAAGGACTAGTCAGAAATGAAGGATGCACTAACTGAAATAAAGAATAATCAACAGGGAATCAATAGTAGAGTAGGTGAAGCCAAGAAGCAAAAACCACCCAATCAGAACAGCAAAAAAAAAAAAAATGAGAATAGTGTAAGGAGCCTGTGGGACTTCAAGCATACCAACATTCGTTATCATGGGAGTGCCAGAAGGAGAAGAGAGAGGGCAAGAAACTGAAAACCTATTTGAAAAAATAATGACAGAAAACTTTCCTAACTTGGTGAAGGAAACATACATACAAGTCCAGGAAGCAGAGAGTTCCAAACAAGATGAACCCAAAGAGGTCTACACCAAGACACATCATCACCAAAATGCAAAAGGTTAAAAACAGGGAATCTTAAAAGCACCAAGAAAAAAGCAGTTAGTTACCTACAAGGAAGCTCCCATAAGGCTGTCAACCACATTCTCAAAAGAAACTTTGCAGGCCAGGAGAGAGTGGGAAGAAAATTTTTTTTCTTTATTGAGTTTTAGAGTAAGAAAGGAAGGGCGAGGTAGAGAGAGAGAGAGAGAAACATCAATGAGAAAGAACATTGATTAGCCACCTCCTGCATGCCCCCCCCCCCCCACTGGGGATCAGGCCCACAACCTGGGCATGTGCCCTAACTGGGAATCGAACCAATGACCTCCTGGTACATGGGTCAATGCTCAACCAGTGAGCCACACGGGCCGGGCACAAGAAATATTTAAAGTGATGAAAAGCAAGGACCTACAATCAAGATAACACTATCCTGCAAAGCTATCATTTATAATCGATGGTTGTATAAAGATTTTCCCAACAAGAAAAAGCTAAAAGAGTTTATCACCAGCAAACCAGTATTATATGAAATGCTGAAGGGTCTTCCTGAAGGAGAAGAACAACAAAAATATGAACAATAAAACAGCAATAAATACATATCTATCAACAATTGAATCCACAAACAAAATGAGCAAGCAGTACAGAAACAGACTCATAGATACAGAAACGTTTTCTTAGTTGCCAAATGGGAAAGGGGTTGGGTGATAAAGATGAAGGAAATAAGATGTACAAATTGGTTGTTAAACTGAAGAACCTCAAACAGAAGAGGGGAGGTGGGGTGGGAAGAGAGAAACCAAAAAACTTATATGCATAACCAATAGACACAGACAGTAGTGTGGGGAAGGCAGGAGGTGGGAGGAAGTGGGGAGGAGGGGGTCATGGGGGGAAAATAGGAGGGACATCTGTTAATACATTCAACAATAAAGATGAGTTTAAAAAAAAATTTAGCCTGCTAGGGCCTGGCCAGTGTGGCTCAGTGGATTGAGAGTTGTTCCATGATCTAAGAGGTACTGGCTGGATTCCTGGTTAGGGCACATACCCGAGTCACGGGCTCGGTCCCCAGTAGGCGGTGTGGAGGAGGCAGCTGAGTGATGTTTCTACCTCTCTCTAAAAAAAAAATCAATAAAAATGTATTTTTTTAAACTAGCCTGCTATATTTGGTCAGACTAATTTGGTAAGGCTTGTGATGTTAGTACTGATTTCACGGGCCTCATACTGCCTGAGACTGAATGTTCCCCACCTCTGAAAGGATCAGGAAAAGGGCAGCCTAGCAAGACAGAAAACTTTTATTGGGGGGGGGGGGGTCCTAAGATTTATTAAAATTAATTAATTAATTTATGTATGTTACAGATGTTTCTCCTTTTCCCCCCATTGACACCCTCCTCCCCCTACCTCCCCGCCCCGTCCCCAGCTTTCTTATCCATGTCCACTGGTTATGCATACATGCATACAAGTTCTGTGATTTCCCCCCCACCTCCTCTTCTGGGGAATGTCAGTCAGTCTGTACCCGGACAATGTCAGTCTCTGGGACTACCCTGTTCTTCAGACTGTTATGCTCATTATATTCCACAAATAAGTGAGATCATATGATACTTGTCTTTCTCTGCTTGGCTTGTTTCGCTTAGGATAATACTTTCCAGGTCCTTCCATGTCATCTCAAAGGATAATGGGCAGAGGAACTAAAGAGACACTTTTCCAAACAGGACATACAAATGGCTAAGAGACATATGAAGAAATTTTCAACATCACTAATCATCAGAGAGATGCAAATTAAAACAACAATGAGATATCACCTCACACCTGTCAGAATGGCCATCAACAAATCATCAAACAAGCGTTGGCGAGGGTGTGGAGGAAAGGGGACTCTAGTACACTGCTGGTGGGAATGCAGATTGATACAGCCAGTATGGAAAACAATATGGTGTTACCTCAAAGAATTAAAAATTGAATTACCATTTGAGCCAGTGATCCCACTTCTAGGAATATAAGCTAAGAAGCCTGAAACACCAACCAGAAAGAATATATGTACCCCCATGTTCATAGCAGCACTATTTACAATAGCTAAGATCTGGAAACAGCCCAAATGTCCATCAGTAGACGAATGGATAAAAAAGCTGTAGTACATATACACAATAGAGTACTATGCACCTGTAAGAAAGACAGACAGAAAACTTTTAAACAGTAACTGCTCCAAATACCATGGAGGGTGGTGGGAGGATGTGCTTCCCTTTCTCACCATCAGAGGTCAGTGAGAAGCCTAAACTTTTACCTTGCCACAACAGAAACTGGGTGCCTTAATATTTGCTGGCTGTGTCAGAGAAGCCAGGTAGGGAGCTGAAGCTTTGATCCCCTATTAGAT